CAGTCCGTGACCTTGTGAGCCATAGACTTGCACTTGAGACACGCAGCAGGCTTCCGCGCAGGGGCAGACGGTGTGTCCGACTTGGTCACTCCGTCCGCGGACCGGGGTTTCGCTGATCCAGCTCCCCCGTCCGGTTTCTTCTCGTCGGGCCTCTTCGACGCATGGCCTCGAGCGTCTTGGCTCTTCGGCGGCTTGGTAGGCTTCTCTCCGTCTTCTACACCGCCGTAGAGTTGGTAACCGGTTGCGAACATCCGCAACCAGTTGACGAAGCGAAGGACGTCGGAGCGCAACGGCTTGTTGACTTGCAGTTGCATTTGCTTCTTGATGGCCGACTGGAGCATCGAGGGTCGGACCACCTTGACCATAAGGTCCACGTCAACTTTACCCTCGTCCTTGAGTACCCACTCTTGGTTGTGGCGTTCTAGGGCCCTCATGAGCCCGTCGAGCATCTCCCCAACCCGAGAGTCGGCGTCCAGAATCTTCGTGTCGAAACGAATGGTCGCCTCCAGGCGCCTCTTCAGGATGTCGAGGTCACGCGGCTCTACTTCCAACGCCATAGAAAACCACGCGATCCACTCGGACTCCGTGATTTCGTCGTACGGCCGGTTGAAATCTCACTACGCCACACGGCGCTTAGTGAAGTGATGTACACATGCGGACACAGGCATCACGAAGGGTCTAGCGCCGGCCGTCTGTAGCGCGTTGATTTGGCCCACGTACCTCTGATAGGCGCGCATAAGAACACGGTGCTCTTGCTTGGTCGAGCCGCTAAAGCTCGGAGCTTGGGGAATCACCGGCGCATGACAAACATACGAGACGTCTTCGCCCATGTCGACGTCATTCTGATCGCCTTGAGGCTGCGACGGCTGTTGACTCGCTGTCGCGACAGTTGTTCGCGGCAGCTCTTGTCTAGTCGCCGCGCCCGTAAAGTCGTCGTCCTCACCAGCCGGTAAAGGCACTTGACTGGGGTCTAGCGGCCAGCCTCTGGCAGCCGCTCTTGCCGCTGGAGCGTTGCCAACGCCACCTCTCCAGGGCATGCTCATGTCGGTCGCCTGAACCTGTCGTCGCCGCGGGGAATGGAAGGGCGCAGGCACCGGCTGGAACGTTCCACGACTGCCGCGCGTCAGGTGTCGGGAGTTTCAACCACGCTCCCTCGACCGCGACCTGTCGTCGTCGCCACGTGGCAAACGCGATCGGTCTTGTCCGTCATGATCACTATCAGCCATTTCAGACTCGTAGTGCACTAAAGATATCTTTGTTGTGAGTCAGCGCCTTGTTCGTCTGCACGGCGGCTTCTTTCCGGGAAGCAATGCAAAATCCAAACGGAGTTACTTCTCATTACCTTCTTGTCAGTTCATTTCGTCCCCCTCAGTACAGTAGCACCTTGCCAGGACGCCCAGACTCCGGGACGACGAGACCCCGGATGATTTTCCTTACAGATCGTCCCGAGCTAGGTCATACCGTAGTGATTGATCCAGCATCCAGCAACTGACCTCAGCGAGGTTGATCTGGACTCGGGGTGAACTTGCAGGTGTCGGCTTTTTCCGGGGTTCACATTACCACTTGGGATCGAGCAGGAGATCTACCGCGTGAGCTATTTTCTTTTTGTTTGTGATGTTGTTGTTGTATTTTGTTGTATAGTACTCCGGAGTACTCGTATGTTCCAAAGTAGGACGGTACGCTTTTCCGTCACTCATTGTACTATTCATAATAGTGTTGATTCTTTTTCGACCGCATGTCAAGGAAGAGGTTTTTGCGTTTTATATCAGGTTTTTCTATTTTCTTTTAGAAAAATCGGACATGGCTGAGTTGTAACTTGACGCTGTGGTGTATTCTTCACAAGGTCTCTACAATTGTACAGAATATTGGAAGAGCGGAAGGATCTACTCGGAACGGACCGTCAAACGAATGCCAGGTCGTCTTCATTCATATGCTTTAAACCTCAACGTCATGAAGCCCGCTCGCATTCCAAACGCGCTACACGTAAAAAAATCCATTCTTGGACCCTGTGGGCGAATCTCTTCTTCATTCTGTGCCACGCTCTAGCTAATTTGTTCCAAACACCAAGAGTCTCATGCTTGGAGTGTCATGAATATATATAATATTGGAGGTTTTCCTCGATACAAATACAGTAGTACACTGGCTTACTATGGCATACTATGTCTACTACTAGTACGAGTAAATCGAGCGCCTTTCGATCCAAGTTCGGCGACGATCTTCCGACGACATGGGATTCTTCCGCTCGCTCTTGGTGGTGTTTGCGATGGGTGTGAGCTCATCGGTGGGAGACACGCCTACGACAACGCCTGGTTTCGCATTCAAGGATGGTTTGGCGCAAGCCCCCGTGCAACTCCAAGCGTTCATCGACCTCGTAGTGCAAATGCTCACATTGCCTTGCTCTCACCCTTCATGATTTGAGATAGTTGTGCCCGTACAGCAAAGCTGCGTACCCTGCGCTCAAGAAACTAGGAGATGCGTTTGATGGATCGGATTTCCGCCTCACCTTCCAAGTGCTTCCCTTGCCGTTCCATCGCAATGCGTTCCTTGCTGCCCAATCGGCAGTATCCGTGGTACGCCTTGTTCGACCCAATGAACAGTACCCGGCATGCTGTAAATGAGTAGGTACAAGCTGTTGGCCCACACAGCTTTGTGCCGTGGCTGGAAACGATATACGCCAACCAAGATACGCTGTCCAATGCCAACACGCTTGACACAACTCCCTCCACCCTCATCAACCAACTCGCGACTTGGGCACATGCTGCGTTCCCGTCCATCAAGATTGACGCTTTCCGCGAGACGATGCAACCTGGGACTACCACTGACGAAAAGACCCGTCAATTGTTTCGGTACACCCTGGCCCATGGTAGGAGCATTTAGCACCTGAATGCTTGGCGACGAGCCATGCACTTGAGGAGCTCCGCGACGTAACCCAAGGATCTCTCTCCTTCAGGGATTGCCGGTACTCCGATGTTTTTTCTGAACGGGGTCCATTTCAACGACGCCGACAGCGCATGGACGTTTGACGACTGGTGCGGTCGGTCGCGCGCCGCGTCCATCTCGTCTGGAAGTCGTTGACTGGATCGGGGATGCATGCGTAGGTACAAAGTCATCAATCCGCTCGTCCAAGCCAACAAGGCCGCGGCGCCTCATTCAAGTGCGATCGTTCCTGACGCATGCCCATGGTCTCACAGTCACTCCATCGTAGACGTCATGTCGATTCATGTGGCTCTCCCCGACCGCACTGTGCACCTAAACGCGCCCCCTTCCGTGTGCGGCAGCGACCACGTTGCGTGTGGAATTGCTGATGGAAAGACCGTGTGCTGCAGCCTCGCGTCGGAAGTGTGCATCGTTCGCCGCGGTTGCATGCAGCATGAAGCGTTGGCCGCTCTCGTGCAACAGTAATCGTTCCAATTTGCACCCCGTTTGGTTCACGACGCGGAGGTTCTAATGCTGCCTGTCATGACTGTGCTCTGCGTTGTCCCGAGGTCAGGATTCTCATGCACCAAGCATCAAACCCTTGGACACACCATCCATCCAAGCCCACGTTGAGGGCGCATGAGATAATTTCAAAATGCACGTTCAAATGCATCAACGGACCTCTGGACTTCGCGCGGATCTTGTCAAACTGCCTTTACCACCCAACATCGAGTTGGATGATGGGAGACCACCGTTGGAACGTTCAGTCTGTTTTCTTGCACATGCACAAGGCTATTCAGCTCCACTACATCGCCTTGGAAGTACGTTTCTTTTGATTCTCTGCCGGTGAGATCCGAGCTTCGAAGGTCCCTGTCGTTTAGCAGGAACCCCATCGTGCACTGCTTCATGTCATGCGGTGTGTCGCTGACGACAATTGCAATGGACGGATCATCCGGATACAGCACCCGGACGTGGAACCAAAACTTATTCGGACAAGCATACTTATCCGGATTCGCACTTGAAGTTCATCGTCTCGTGCAATGGTCAATATTTTTTATGTATTGAATTCCCTAGAGATTCAAATTGAAAAAATATTCCATCATGGAGAGAACGTGCGGTGCGCGCACGTGAAGTACGGAGGCATCATAAACGAGCGCCATTTTGAATTTGACGATCGAGAAAGGACATGGCTGCGCTCCCGCCGTCTGCGCTGAAGTGGCCTGTGCCATCGGACATCGAAGTGAGCGACTCCACCACGCCGGCGCATATTGGAGACATCGCGAAAGCGGCGGGCTTGGTATGATTGATAACGCTCGAGCATCTTCCACTTAACATTCATGTGTTTGGGGTCCATGACAGCTCGACGACGAAATCGTGTACTACGGCACTACCAAAGCCAAAGTTCAACTGTCCGTGCGAGATCGCTTGGCGTCGGTCAAGGACGGCAAGTACGTCGTAGTGACGGGCATCACTCCAACACCTCTCGGCGAAGGCAAGTCGACTACCACAATCGGGTACGTCCAGCGTCGTCATCGTTTTCATTTGCGCTAATCTCATGAAAATTAGTTTGGCGCAAGCATTGGGTGCTCATTTGAACAAAAAGTCCTTTGCGTGTATTCGACAGGTAAGCTATCCACGTTCTTCGCTGCAATGTGACAGAATTCTCTCACATAGCCGTCGCAAGGCCCTACCTTTGGCATCAAGGGTGGTGCCGCTGGGGGTGGATACGCCCAAGTGGTGCCCATGGACGAGTTTAACTTGCACATGACTGGGGACATCCACGCCATCACCGCCGCTAACAACCTGGTACTCAACGCCGCAGCAAAGACATCGCAATGCAATCGACTGAGGTGGCCATATGTAATCCATCCCAGGTCGCGGCTGCCATCGACGCGCGCATGTTCCACGAGTCGACTCAATCGGACAAGGTACGATATTTATTGAATGCAACCTTGTAAATACTGCATCAACGCTTTGAATGCACCTCTTTTGACTCTACGGGGATATACATGGCCTCTCTGGGTGGTGTTCAATAGTTCACGGTCTACTTGGACTTGTCTGCCTTATCGTCGCCGTTGGTCCCTGCATCCAAATCCACGGAGGAGGATTTTTGACGGCTCCTGATGTAGGCGTTGTTCAACCGCCTGTGTCCGGTCAAGAAGGACGGGTCTCGAGTGTTTGCGAACGTCATGTTGCGTCGCCTGCGCAAGTTGGGCATCGACAAGACCAATCCCGACGACTTGACCGACGACGAGCGCAAGCACTTTGCTCGTTTGGACATTGACTCTTCCACGATTACTTGGTATAGACAAAACTCCCATAGATGCACTCGCATTGTCGGTTTTGTGTATTGATCTCGTTGAGATGAATACACAAAAATTGCCAAGTGTGGATGAGGAATGCCTCGGGGATATTTTGCCTTGACTGGTTAAATGCTGTAGGAACCGCGTGCTCGACACGTGCGATCGCTTCTTGCGAGGTATTACCACCGGCCAAGCTGCGACTGAATTGGGCCATGGCCGTAACACTGGGTTCGACATCACGGTACGAGTCATCATGGCATCGGTTCTTTGTGTTGAAACGTTTTGTCGGATTCACGAAATTGGTGGTCCAGGTGGCGAGCGAAATCATGGCCGTCTTGGCGTTGGCGACGAGCTTGGCGGACATGCGCGAACGCTTGGGTCGAATGGTAAACCATTCAATAATTCGTTCGGGGTGATACTCAAAGAGCTATCTGTGAAATTTCAGGTGATTGGCATGAGCCGAAGCGAAGTTCCTGTGACCGCCGACGACTTGGGTGTCGGCGGCGCCTTGACTGCGTTGATGAAGGATGCCATCATGCCGTACGTCTGCTCGATTCGTCTTCACGACGATTAGTGAATCAATGTCGTAGGACTCTGATGCAAACGGTCGAACAAACGCCAGGTTCAGTGACTCCTCGAAATCCTGTTTGCAAGTGGAACGCAAGTTCATGGCTTGTGGTTAGTGCTGGTTCATGCCGGGCCGTTCGCCAACATCGCACACGGCAATTCCTCTATCATCGCTGATCAAATCGCGCTCAAGTTGGTCGGTTCGGATGGAATTGTTGTCACTGAAGCTGGATTCGGCGCCGACATTGGCATGGAAAAGTTCTTCGACATCAAGTGCCGCGCCAGTGGTGAGTTTCGGTGTGTCCAGTTAACGTTATGGGTGATAACGCGTGTTTTTCTCGCTCGATATAGGTTTGATTCCGCAGTGTGTCGTGCTGGTGGCGACTGTGCGCGCACTCAAAATGCATGGTGGTGGCCCCACTGTGACCGCTGGCAAGCCGGTACGTCAATTCCACTTCCCAAACATGACACGTGATCCCTGATCTTTACACGATTATGGCAGTTGGATGCAGTTTACGTCGATGAAAACATCGACCTCGTCACGGAGGGGTGTGCCAACATGATGCAGCACATTCGTAATGCGGTTCGTCAGCCATCGCAAAGCGTATTTCATCGCGGTTTGTTCACGATGTTTGGTACAGCTCAAGTTTGGAGTGTCGGTTGTGGTGTCGGTGAACCGTTTTGCCACCGACACGGATCGAGAAATTCAAATCGTCCGGTCCAAGGCCGTCGAGGCGGGTGCGTCCGCAGCTATCGAATGCAACCACTGGTATATGTCGTTTCAAAGTGCGCCTATTGTCCCAACACTCTTTTCATCAGGTCCAAGGGTGGTGCAGGGGCGGTCGAATTGGGCAAGGCCGTCGTGGACGCGTGTGCGGCGCCGTCCAACCATTTCGACTTTTTGTACCCCTTGAACTGGTCTATCGAAGAGAAAGTAGACGCAGTGTGCAAAAAAATCTACGGGGCCGACTCGGTGGAGTTTTCGCCCTTGGCGCTCGAAAAGGTCAAGGTCTTCACGGCCTGTGGCTACGACAAGTTTCCGATTTGCATGGCCAAGACGCATCTCAGCTTCAGCACGGACCCGACCAAGAAGAACGTTCCGTCTGGGTATGCGTCTCGCATGGTGATGAGTCATCTCATGCACGAATGTAGCTTCTCCGTGACCATACGAGACATTCGTGCGTCGGTCGGCGCAGGCTTCCTCTACTTGCTCTGTGGTGACATCATGACAGTGCCTGGGCTGCCCACGCGTCCTGGCTTTTACGACGTCGACGTCGACTGCGACACTGGCAAGATTGTCGGGTTATTCTAGACACGCTGATACCTAGTCCTGTGGTACACCGAATGCCATGTTTCGTCCAAAGTACAATGGAATTCTCTGTCTGCGCCGTCTTCGTGCTTGTTCGTGTCGCGAGGTGATGCTACCACCAAGTCACCTAGACATCATGCAACTGGTTGACCCTGAACGACTCGAATGTCGACAGGTTAGGAAAGCTGCACGCTGAAACCACCCAAGGTGCTCACGAATAAAGGTGGGTGAGCCCACCGACCACCTTGCGACGCTCGCCCGTCAAGTCGATGGGCTATGGAGCTCAGGTGGATTCACGATCGCGCCAAGATGATACTGTAGGAATGTGTGGTCGATAACGCTCTGCCAATGCACAGATTCAAGCATGCTGCAAGAGCATCGCGGTGGAAGCAAGTGTGGTGCCGCGACTCCCTTCTCGAAGTCAGTTCCCACAAGTTTCATCCTTTCGATCACATCGCTGTATACGTCAAAACCATGCGCGCATGAGGGCGGCGATGACAATCACCCGGCGTTTGTACTCCGACGTCACGACCCAGCTCCGAATGCTCACACTTCCTGTGGCTGCGACCGCGCACGCTAATGCGTCTCGGGCGCTGCAAACAGCGTTGAAGCTCAGCTCGACGCCTGCCTTGGCTCGTTTCAGAATGATTCCGAAATCACTTCCATTGGCATAGCGCCATTGTCCACGACTTTCCCCAAGCAGCGCGGCACGTCCAGGCGGATCCTCGAATGCCATCCATTCAGTCCACATCACCAGCGATACGCATTGTATTACCATGCTGAACAACCTACAAAGCTCCAACAGCTTCCCTGCCGCGAGCGCAATCCAAGCGGGATGACAATCGGTCTTCTTCAACCTTTTTCGCCATAAACACCCATGTTATTCTGGTTGACGCGCGTTGGTGTCGGCGGCATGGATGCGATACCGCGCGACAGTTTCCTCGACAAGCAAGTGGTCGCAATGCCAGTCGCTGTCGAGCATGTGATTGATAAAGTGGTCGGCGACGCTTGTCCTAACGTGAGTCGACTGCACCGCCCTGTGCACGTCGTGCCGGCTCTGCTCCATGGCTGCCGCGGGGCTCAGATGTCCATCTTCGAGCAACATGCGTAGTCGCACGAGATGCAAGTGGCCCTTCAACACGTCGACGCTGGTGGCGTCGGCATGCAAAAGCAAATGCACAACGCGAGCTCCACGCCTCGAGGCTACGTCGTCGTCTACTTGGAGGAGATACCGCTCGTTTGCAAATGTGTCGAGCGTTTCCAAGCGCAGCTTGTCCAAGCGGGAGCTCAAGGCGACGCTGGTTCGTTGGAATCGACTGGGGTACCCCGACTGGAACCGCAGCACAAACGCTTCGTTCGCGCTGACCTCGCTCGGGGACAGAATCGGGTTCTCGTTGGCAAGATGGGTGGTCGAGCGGTCATGTCCTTGCCAGTAGTGGTCGATGACCAAGTGGAGACGTTGTTGGTTCAACGTGTGCAGAGCCACGATCGAGAGCGACTTGTAGATCGACACCAAGTGGATGGCGGAGAGCACGCCGAACGCCGCGGCGACGTTGGCGGTCGCACTACCGACAATTGGCGAGATCGCAATGCCCAGCGCTGTCCCCACAATCGACGACGCGATCGACTGCGATCCAGCCTTGGCTGTGATGTCGGCCAGGTTTTCTTTCTGCGCAAACGAGTAGTGAAACCCGGCGCGGGTTGCGCTCGACGACAACCACGAGATGTTTTTGGCCACGTTGGCTGTCGCAGCCATGGGCAAAAAGTAGGCCGGACAGAGCGGGGTGAGGATTTCGACGAGGGTCGCTGCGTCCATGGCAAAGGCCGACACCATGCGCCACCGCTACGCGACGTTTGGTCAACTATAGAGCTCTTCACGAGGGCAGTGCAATACGTTTTGGGGAATACACTGGAATCGAACCCACATTCAACAAGGCGTCCAAGTCACGACATCGCCGATGCATTTTGGATCGCAGACTTGACTGCGCGCCCCCCCCACGATGCAATCCAAACTCCATCCATGAAGCGAAACCCGGCGGAATTACGCAAACGACGTACCTTGGGGTCTGCGTCGAAGCGATGGTTGACGAGGCTTGCGAACAGGACACCACCAAACTGCCCCAACCCATCCTTGATGACCCAATTGAGCGCGGCTGCCATGGGAATCGCGCCGCTCTGGAGACCGATCGCGAATAAGAGCGATTGCATCGAGAGGACCCCGCACGTCGAGCCAGCGACGCTCGCGATGAACTGGTATCTGACATATGGCAGATAGTCTGGACTTGTTGACGTGGTATGGTCGCGCGGAAGGAACAAGTCTTCAAGAAGCAATGGGATATTTCGGATCGACTCTGCCAGGGATGGCGTTGACGACGCCATGAGTTCCAGCGTCCGTGACCTCGACCCGGCTGGTGTGTGGAACGCATACTCACGATGGCCATGTTGTTGCGAGGCAGTCAGTGGTCGCTTCTCAACCGTCTTGTGGATTGCACGGAAGCAGCGGGGAAACGATGCCGCCGCATGGACGCAGCGCATGCGGCGCGACACCAGCATCCTCGCGCGGTGGTTGCTCCGAATTGAGTCGACAATATCCGGATACCGTCCCAGTTTGAAGCACTGGGGTTGGCTACCCGGATAACATGCACCCAATGAGTAGCAGCGTAGGAACATGCGAACCTGACCAAGAAACCTCGAAACCCCGGAACCCCGAAACCCCGCCAAGGAAATGCAGGGGTTTGCTTTGGGAAGCAGACCACCTCGATGAAGCAGCGTATTTCCACGATGAAGCAGCGTATTGCCACGCAGTCTCACCAGCACCCAAAATGGCACTTCGACGGCATGGTTTCCTCCGACGAAGTTGCATGCGTTGCTTCGTAGCTGCCATGGTGGCGGACAGCAAGTCGTTCCTCGGTGAGCTCATTCAAGTATTGGGAAGATTTAAGCTTGAAGAGCGTGGTGGGGGGATGGTGAAGTCATGTGAGAGACGAAGCAGCGTCGACTGGGACAGCGAGGGAGCCGCGGCCGTTGAGGGCACTGCCGTGGATAGATAACGCACGAGTCGACGATTCCATCGGAGCGACGGCGAGGTAAAGCAAGTGGACTTGTCACGGGCAGACTAGAGATAACTGAAGCCTCCAACCTTGCCAACTGCAAGCTATGCTGTGGCTCAGCCCAGCGCGAGGTGTCGGCAACCAAATTATCTGCTGGCAACGACAGAACTGCGGATTGAGCTAGCAGTTGGCGAGGGTGATGTTTAGCAGACACATGGAGTGTTTTTGCCCACTGATTTGGTGGTCTCGGTCATCAGCGAGCAGCCCGCCGCCCAGGAACACCGTGAAAAGTACGTTGACGCCTGAACAACGTGTTACACAGCCAATACGCGCGGTGGATTCGAGAGGTTGGCAAGCGCAGCCACGTTCTTCATGTCGAAGGACTCGGGGCATCCTCAGGTTCTGCCTTGCTCTGGTCAAAAGAGCTCGACTGTAGACGACATGGCTCATCTGGTATGGCCGATTTCCCGCAACCACGAGCTCTTGCTTACTGGCATTCGCAGGAAAGAATGCATGTGAAATAGGATCGGGTGTGTACCTCGCGGTGAAGGCACCATTTGATGGTGGGACTAGCCCGACGACGTTGCGAGCGGGGGGAACCTGAAGCAACTGCTACATGTGAACCCCGAAACCCTTTGAGGTTTTGAAGTGACCACTTGCCACGCATGGAACTGGAGATTATGTGTTTGGAGCTCGTATGCACGCGCTGTGGTTCGACCGTGCAAGTCCACCTCGAAACCCTGACAGGACCCTCACGCTCCCGTAGCTGCATCGGGCAGATTTCATCCATCCAACAACCCCTTGCGGAAATAGTCCCCCAATGGTCGACACCCCCCACCATCGGCCATTCCGTCGATTGTCGCTAGTCTTGTCAACACCCCCCTGGGTTCTGTACCCACATCAGCCACACCTACTTTGTCGACATGCGTGACTTACCACGCGCCACCATTGAATCTCAATCTGTCTGCGATCCCCACGTCCTTCCCAGGTCCAGCGGTACCCAAGCTCATACACGTTGCGGCGACCCCTCCATTCTACTTCTCGAGTGTCGTGCCCCCCTTGTGCCCTTGGCCCAGATCAGGCTCCCTCCCACGGGGGGTTCGAGTTCCCCTGCCCGAGCTGCTGTCCAGGGAAGTTTCCATGGATGCGTTGACGGCGTCGTCGAGACAGGACCTGCCACAAGACGTTCAAAACGACGGCTGACACACGTCTCGAACCCGTTTGAAACGGCTGCATCAACATTTGGCAAAACCGTTACATGACGCGGCCGCGTCATCCACTCATTTACTCGTGGATTGGCTGAAATGCTAGATTTTCAAAGTATCTGATTGGCTTTCGCTGAAACATGGGAGGGGCAGGTTTCGGATACGGTATCCGGTCCACCGCCGGCCTGTCTTTTCTTTCACTTTTGCATTTCCGAGCACCATCCCGCATCAACCATGACGGTCCAGCCGCAACTCGACTCGCTTCAGACGTCCGTGGACGGCGGCATCCAAGAAACCCAGACCTACTTGGCCAACGTACGTTGCATGCGCTCCTTCGATGTGTGTGTGCGATGGCGGCTGATGGATGTGCGTAGTTGCAAGCACGCATTGCCGAGTACGATTCGCAATACCAAGTTTCGGAAACCGCGTCGTCGTACTTGCAAACAGCGATTGACGCTGCGAACGCTGCCGTCGACGACTTGAAGAAGTCGGCGACGTCGCTTCGCACGACGACCCTGTCGGCTGCCCAAAAGCCTGTAGAACTTGTCCAACAGGCGCTTGCTCAAGTGTCGCAGTCCCTTGTCGTCATCAAAGAACACGCCGCTACGTACGACACCAAGTTCCAGCTGGCTGTTCATGATGCCCGTGGAAACTTGGAAACTTTGACGGCGGTCACGCGTCAACGCACCACGGATGCGATCCAGCAAGCGTCGGAACAAGCCACCAACGTCCAAACTAGGTTGGCGTCCACCGCGCATGGCGTGGGTACCTCTGCCATCGCCTATGCTGGCGGTGTCGTGCAAAAGGTGGAAGCTATGGACCAATATTACCACGTGAGCGAAAAGCTTCAAGACACTGTTGCGCTGGCGACGGGAAAGGCCAAGGAATTGGATGCTACGTACCAAGTGACCCAGCGCGCTCTTGACTTGGATACCCAAGTCACTGGTGGGTTTGGCGCTCGCACGTTGAACAGCGCGACCGAATTGGTACATTCTGGCCTGGACTACATCACGGGCAGCCTGCAGTACGCCAAGGACGTTGCGACGTCGTCCAACCAGCCCATGACCACGACAGTCCCGACCCTCGAACCCGTCAGCGCATCGGTCGACGACGTGCGTGTGAAGACGACAAAGACTGGCGCCGTCGAAGTGCACGAAGAAGTCGTCGAAGACGCCCAGTAGATGGGATCCTTTCCTCTAAGTATACATATATATTTGAACATCCCCCCACCTTTCTTGGGTCGATGCATCATGTTGGTGCCGCACGCGCCGGAGCACGGTCCATCCCATCATCGCGCCATAGCCGTGACCTGCGCTCCCCAAGACTCGATGCCAAAATATCACTTCGCATGCTCCGCGGCGATCAGCGCGCATGGCGACGAGAGCGATCGACGACATTTGAACAACGTCGTTCATGTGTCTCAGTGGGACAACGCGAGGTGGTTCATAAGGCGCCTTATAACTTATTTCCTTTGGAAAACAGCATCGTACGCATGCGGGTCAGGATGGACGGGCCGGGAGCAGCCTGTCGAAACGACGATGCCGCGGCTTGGGTCGGCCTTGTCGGCGATGCTGCACGACCCCGTGAGCCGTCGCGATGGCACACACCGATTCATCGTACCTGACTTTCTTCGATTCGTCGGGCATTGAAACACCACGGGGTTTTCGTGGCGCTGGTCGATCGAAAACACCTTGTCGACGGGAATCGCGAGCCCGGTCTCGGTCGATGCAAACATAACGTCGACCGACGTTTGCGTCGGGAGGACCGGCCGGGACACGATCGCCATGAAATACTTGGCGCCAACGGGGGCCATGACCGCTTCGCCGATTGCAAACTTGGTCTGGCTCGTGAACGTGTGATGTTTCCTGTCGTCCAACGGCGCATGGGGCACGCAGTGGATGCGATGGAGGGTCATGTCTCCATGGCACAATGTGGTGTCGGCGCTCGACCCGCCTTCGTACCCGCTCGCGCTCTTCCAATTGCGCGTAAACCGCTTCTTCGGGCTCAGCACTGCCTCACGTCGTTAGCCACACAACTCGATCGCTTGTACCTGTGGTGTCTGTGATGGGCGCGATGTAGTCGTACGGCACGCCGTCGTAGGTTTCGCCGTAGTCATACACAACACGGTAAGCGTTGGTCGCAGCGGCCACGGCTTGGATCTGGCCCGTGCAATACTTGGCAAAGCGGGGGCTGTACGCTAGCACGTGGTCCAGAGGAAGAAACGCGGGCGGCTTCTTGGTCGCGGGCACGGCGGCGTGCTGGAGGGTGTGGAACGATGCCTGGCCTGCGGCGTGAGCTTGCGATCGAGACGGAAGCGCGCGCGTACCTGCTTGAGGATCACACCGTCGGCGAATTGAATGTCGCAAGTGTTGTGCGCGTTATGCACGTTGCACACGCGGCCCTTCTCCAGGAGGTTGCTCATGGGGTGCGTGGCCGTCACCCAATCGTCAATGTTGAACCCTTCTTCCGTCGCCCCCATGCCTGGACGCCGCCGCCGTGAGCCCGTCCAAGATGGCGCCGCCACGTACCAAATGTCTGGTGGATATCGAGCGACATGAGGAACGCGCCCGCTTCCCGGCTGCTCGAGTCCGCTGTAGCAATGGTTGTGACGATATCGGCGAGGCGGCGGCGGGTCGCACCTTTGCGCAGAAACACAGACGGCACGGACGAGTCGACTTCGCCGTTGTCGTACTCGACAAACACCGTGCGATTCGAATTGATGCCGACGATGTACCCGTGGTTGGACACGCCCAGCTCAAGGTCGTGCACGATGATCTAGTGTCGAGTAGTCAGGCGCCGTCGCTCGTATACAAGCGAGGAACGAACCCGTTCGTGGACGCAAAACGTTTGCCCTGCCACGTCAATCTCAACGTCGTTGGTGGCTGTGATCGCATTCGACTGGGACCTGCGACAGCCACATGTTCGTCAACGTTGCTAGCAACGGCTATGCGCCCGTACCTCGGCACCGCGACCAAGTGCTCGAGAGGAATGCTCGTCAGTGCGTCGTGCTCCCCGTCAACTTTGACATCAAATGCCGTGGCACACCGCCGGCGGCGAATGGTGCATGGCACGAGTTGGTCGCGCACCCACTGTCACCGCCCATGAGCGCGACACCATCCGACCAGCACACCCCCACGTACACTGAGCACTTTGGCGCCGGGGTACACCAGGTCGTGGACCTTTGCGAGCTCGACGTACTGCTCAAAGAGGTCCGCTGTGGGGTCGCACGGCTGACACTTGGCAGGAGCGACCTTGTCATGGAGTTTCTGGTCGAGATCTACACGGCCTGGTCACACCAAGCCAACAACGGCGATGTACCCTGGACGACGACGGCGTCGTTTGGCGCGGGGTGGCCTTTGGGATGGGGCTGGATCGAGCCAAAGTAGCACAGGGGCAGTGCATGAACCAGCACATGCTTGCGCGGAATCGCGTCGGTGGTCGGGTGGTCAGCATTTGGTGGCAGCAGCGCCATTTGCTTGGACGACGAGCCGCGGCGCGTCGACGCACCAGGCGGTGGTGGACCGTCCAGGTCGTTGTTCGAGCTTTGGCGGGTCCCAATCTGTTTCATTTTCATATACGTGGCGTGCATGCGTCGGAGAGTCTGGTCCGCCGCGTCCCGCAGCGCTTCCGACTGGCCGCTCGACGTCTTTGAGTACACGGCGATTTCAGCCGTGGACAAGCCACCTGGCTCACTCGTCAGTCGAGCGAGTCATCCGTCCATGTCGCCGTACCGCGATGGATAGCTTGGTCATCGTACACCACGGCGACGGATCGGTGGAGAGTATATGGCGCGGGGTTTGCTTTGTCCTGATGGAGCGATGGCTTGGAATTGGGCGATGGAAGAGCCATCTTGATGTGTGCGAGGACGTGTGCATCGATGCCAATCTCGTTTTGCGACGCCGCGACTTGTGCGGCATCCGGGACGACAGACCCTTCGCTGTCGTCGTCTTTATGGTCTGCACAACATTACGTCGTGAAACCCCGAAATCGATCGATGCCACAGCACTCGAACTCCAACGCACGACGCGAACGAACCTTCCATGGGCACAAACTGGAGCTCCATGTCAAAGTCCTGTCCCAAGATCGTCTGAATGTTCTCGAGAGGCACGTGCTTGTCGAGAGTCAGGTCGTCAAAGAGTATGGATACGGATCGGCCCCGCGGTGCCGCGCCGAGCGTCGACGTGCTATCGTGGTGGCAGTCTGTTTTCCCGTCATCTCCGTCGTCAATGTCCAGGATGTGCCCTGCAAAATACTCGTCGCTGCTGTGGCACTTGGCCAAGACGTAGTCGCCGAGTCGCCATGCCATGATGGCTCGCTGCTCCCTGTTTTCCACGTACTCGGCGAGCTTGGCCGCGGTGGTCCCGCTCGAGCTTTTCAAGTCGACGCCGTGCATGCTCTGCGACCGACGTGAGTCGTTTGATCTCGGCTACCGACGTACCCAGTTGGAATCGTGTCCCGTTTGAGGTTGTAAGCTGCTTCGCTGGGACCGCTCCCGACCGCTCGTGTCTGGCTGGGACGACCGATCTCGACCACTCGATTCTCTCGTCAACCGAGGAAAGATCGTATTGCTCTTCCCACTTGTCTGTTTTTCCAGCAACCGGCGCCCGCTCCCTCGCAGCTGGGTCGCGCGGGGCTGGCTGTTTTCCCGAACGAGGGGCGGAATCATGGCGTGAGCAGTGGATGGCCCAATCTTGGGGGCTGTGACACCGGAAGCCACCGGCAGTGTTGCCGAGCCTTGGGCAGCTGCCATCGAGCCCCCTTGTACCGGGGCGCTATCGTGACTGGGCTATATTTGTAGCCAAGACACCACCCTGATCCGTCGAAACCGACGTGAACAGGTGAAACTAGCCCCCCGCGCGCGGTTCCATCCCGTCATCGATTGCAGGGCGCGATGTAAACGTCAGGCGTAGCGATTCACGCGCAAAACTCGATGGGCCGTCGCCGCCCCTGGACCTGGCTACGATCGACTACAGGCAACTGCGACCAGGCTTGCGTCCTTCGCGCATTCTCCACTTGGGAATCCACTCGGATGGCGCGCTCCACGTCGAGCCAGGCCCATGGCCGTCGATCTGTGCAAAGTCGGAAAGAGAGGCTGGCAATAGCAACGAGCTCTCTCGACCACACTTGCGTATGACGTCAACGATTCATGCAGCAGATCCTGTCTTGTTTTTGATACCAAGCTCCTGCGCGCGCAGTCCGAGCGGCACCCGCAGTTGGAATGCACTCCCCCCTTCCTCTGCGAACAGTGACCCATCCACAGCAACATCGCCGCCGCATGGCGTGGCTCTGCATCAAGATTAGCAAGTGGCAAGACCAACCTTTCACGTTCCTCTATGGCCGAAAGGTTCGAATCCCAAGTTCGTTCTACAAGAGGGCTGCCAGGTGCCCCCCCGTGGGGGGATGGGTGGGTCGCCATCTACTCCAACAACGGAATCGCTACACTCAACGCACGATGGTTTGGAGATGCGGTCGTGTCGGGCAATTGGGACGTGTCGATCGCATACGGCCGCCACGATTTGACGTCAAAAATGTACAGGACGCCCCGGACGTGCACGCAAAGGAGGCCGCTGAGGATGGCCGACGCTTTGTCCAGGTACTCGACGCCGTCGTGCTGAAGGTTGCGAAAAGTCAAGTGGTGTCGAGCCACCGCGTGGAGAAAGTACGACCTGTGGCGTGGGGGCGACCTTGGCTCGGTTCGAAATCGACGCCGCTGCACGACATAGCAGACCAAACAGCACGCGAACGTAATGGCCACGAGCGTCAAGAACCGCGAGATGCGCCCGATGTACAACGTGCCGCTGTGGCAGGCTACGTCAAAGTCGACGGCGGTCGCGATGCACGTGCGGGCGACGTGCACCACGTGGAAAACTGGCCAAGTGAGGGTCCATAGCCATGTGACGACCCAAACGAGTAAGCTGCACCATGGCGCGTACAGCGCCGTGTATCGCCGCGTCAGGGGCGACATGAGGTCGTTTACGATGTACACGAGCCAGCTCATTTCACCGCACGACATGAGCGTCGTGAGCCAGAACCGTGGCGGCGACGTCAAGTACGTCACGAGGCCGGAGGGGGCGACCGTGAGGTCGAGGGGCGGCGTCGAGAGGAGGCAAATCGCGGTCACCGCGCGTAGAAAGATGAGGGGGCGGCCGATCCAGACGAGGCCCGCGACGCGGTTGAATTGGAGCATGTTCCAATTCTCGACATGCCCGCGGACACCCACGATCGTGCAACCGGTCAGGGACGCCACGACCAGCAACAGCAGGGTGACGTATCGAATGCAGCACCGGATGTAGTATGCAACGTTGACGGGGGTTTCCAGCGGGTCGGCGGAGACGACGCGCGGAAGGACGGATGCCGACGCGATCGTGATGGCGTCGCCAGTGGACCCGACGACCCGGACAACGTCCAACTCGCCCAAGACCCATTGAAATAGCACGAGCCACGCAAAGTACTCGATGTGGGGGTCGGAAAACACGGGGTCGTGCGCGAACCGCGTGGTAAAATCCACGGGGTTGCCGAGGAACTGGACGATTTCCAGGTGAACGTTGTCGACTACGTCCGCCTTGACGGCCCGCGCCGATTCCCCAAACGACGGCAGGTTGGTTTCCCTGGCAAGTGTTTGCAGCGTGGCGAGCTCGCTCTCGCACAGCTCGGGTTCCTGCAGTTCAATCGAGCACACGGTCATGGGGGAAGCCGTGGCGGCTGGCCGATGTAGTCCCATGGCTAGCACCGCCATAAACGCGCGCTGTTTTGTAGCATACACCGGCAGGACCGCAAACAACCCTGCCTCGTCCCGCGACGGAGTTGGTCGGCCGCTCTTGAGACCAAACAAGTTTCCGCCCAGGAACATCTCGCCCGTCGCCCACGCCGGCGGCAACGCAAAGTAGTTGAGGCTCTGTCGAATGCTCGAATAGTTGGAAAAGCGACGCTCGGGACCGTCCACCAGCGCCAGCACGACGGCTTCGGCGAGTTCTTGGTAGAGCCTGGTCAGCGAGGCAGGTACCGCGACTCGATAGACGTCGGTGGAACCAAATGGGCCGAGAAAATCCCGCACGAGCGCCATGGTCGGCGCGAGCGGCGACGTCAGGTGCCCGCAATCGACAAGGAGCTGCTCCGCACTGTGGTTCTCGAACGCAAACACGTTGCTTTGACGGACCAGCGACATCCCGCGACTCGGCAACGTGCTGCAGTTGGCGACCGCGACGAGGTCGTTGGCAAAGCCCCAGTACATCTTAAACGATGTGGCGGACGGCATGTCGACGGCGCGCTTGATGAGGCGAAGGGTCATGTCATACTGGACTCCAAGCGCGTTCTCGATCGAGTACACTTCATGCACGCCGAGGATCTTAAAGTTTTGCCACTGCGTTGTGTAGTGCACGATGCCATGGGCTCGCCACGACGCAGCCTCGTCGATCACCGCCAAGTCGGAGCCTCGTCGGACGCGCTCGACCCATGCCTGGCCGTCGCGCGTCACCTGGACAGCGTCAAAAATGGCCGTTTGGACGGCATCGCCCCAGCACTGCTGCAGCGCCTCGCGCTGTGCATTGCGGAGGACCGATTCAAGGTATACGGCGCCGTTCGTCTGGGACACTTGAGCGCATCGCTGTTGTTTGTGCACCGAGTTGGCCATTTCCCACGTTTGGGCAAAGTCGACATAGCAATACGGGGTAAAGATCCACGGGACGTCACAGCCGTCCATTTGGCGGAGCCCGCGAATGACGTTTTCGAGCGAGTTGACGTGATCCTGCAGGGAGTTTCCATACTGGGTCGTGACAAAGATGGTGGTAAACGTCGAGTTGTAGCGTTGATTGGGGTCGCCAAACTTGGCGTCGTCGATGCGTCGCGACCATCCATTCTCAAGCTCCAAACGAGTGGCTGTCGTGAGATGGCGAATAAACCAGTTGGACAAGAACGTCTGCGCTCCGGTCACGTTGTACCCCTTCCACCAGAAATCGTTGGCCATCGTCGACTCGGTCAGCTCCAAGTACAAATAGCTCGCCCCGACGGTGGCAGCCATGTAAACGACGCCAGCCACCGCGATCCATTGGCGGTACTTTTGGTGTGGCGGCGCCGGCATGGTGCTGGCAATGCCTTGGGGGCGACCGACTGAGGAATGCCGAAATGTCGGGTTTGGAAAATCTACGACGCCGCCGCGATCGTCGCCGATACAGTCTTGCTTGTGGTGTCGATGGAGGCGGAGAAGCATCCACAGCTTGACATCGAACACAGCTCCCATGGGCAGCATCCCCGACATGACACACCCGACGTGGTCGAGCGTCAGGCCCGTGTTGTACGGCTCGGCTAAGAGCAGTTGAGATGCCACGGGTAGCAATAGGTGGTGCTGCGCTGCTCGATCGCAAGGTTGCGTTCGTTTCGTGCACCCAAACACGGCGGCAGCCGCGTACGATGCAGCGACAGCACTCGCTTGAATCAAACAAATGCACCCAACACGCGCGACGCTCCCAATCGAAAACGACCCGTTGTCACAATCGACCTGGGTGTCGACGCCGACGAGAATGCAGCGCGGGTGGACGAGGGCGACGGGTGCGACTGGAGCCACGAGCTCGAGGCCGACGACAGCCATCCATGCCACACCACTGCTCACGGGGGAATACCATACCGGCAAATGCTGCGTGAGAGGCAGAAAGACGTCGATCGCGACGTAGGTCAGCCACGTGGTTTCGCCAGCCAACAGCGCAACGTCGAGCAAAGACCGGGCGTCCTGACGCAATTGCTGAAAACCACTGGGAGCCACGAAAGCGACGTTGGCCGTGCTAAGGACCACGATAGCCGTCATGCCGCGCAACAGCAGACATGGTCGCCCGATCCAGACCGACCCCACGACACGGTTGAACTGGAACAGGTGCAGCCCACCGCTGGAAAACTTGTCTGCGGCTCCGTACGCCATGACGAGCATGGCAATCCCGGCCATGGCCATCGACACGTACACGTTGATGTATCGTACGTAGTTGCACGCAGTCTGCGGCAACTCGAGCGGGTTTGCCGCTAGAGGGTCGAAATCGTGGCGAGGCGAGATCGTTGTGAACGAGCCTTTGTCGCCTTCGAACGAGTACACTTCGCGGAGGCCGTGGACCCACTCGTACACGGCAATCCACCCGTAAAACGACCACGCGTCTGCGCGACTGGATATCCATGGCGTGACCAACAAGACTTCCGACAAGTTCGAGTCGGTGGCGAACTGAATCAACGACACGTTGAGCTGCATCAGCGTCACCCACGCCTCTTGTACGAGACGGATCGTGTTGCCAGACCAGACAGAACTCACGGCTCCGACCCGAATGGCATCGTACACGGCATGCACAGGCGCCAGCGCTTCCGTGCACACCGAGCGCTCGGCGAATGCACACACGTCGTACAAGAACGCGGCGTCGACGTCGCCTCCGTCAAACATGGCGACGAACGCCATGAGAGTTGGGTCGGCGTTCATTTGTACTGTCAGACGCGATTGAACCCCGCACGAGTCGTAGAACCCAAACGACGATTGCACAAACGGTTGGGGCCACCCGTTCATGCACATGGGGTTGCCACCGTAGAAGGCGTAGCCAGCGTCGGCCCATGCTGGCGGTGTCGGGTGGACATCGGTGGCCGAGCGCACGGACGTGTACTTGGCGGTGGCGACCTCGTTGACGCGCAGCGCAACACTCAAGTCATCGCGAAAGCTGTGGACAAGTTGCTTAAGGGCCGCGGGGGGAGCATCATATCGCACGTCCATCGCTCCGAACGGACCGATCTGTTGGCGAATGAGCCGTGACGCGACGGAAGGGCGGGCTCCCATGGTAGCCAGCTCGTCCCAGCTGATGCCAACGTTGTCCACGTGGTTGGGAGCTCCTCGGACGAGGCTGCATTGGAACACAGTCGAGCACATGAAGAGGTGCATGGCAAAGCCCAGGAACGCCTTGTCGGTTGTTTGGCGCGTCACGCGCCCCGCGTACGCCACACGGTTGATTTGAATGGTCTCGACGCGTCCGAGCGCGCTGACGATCGCGATGGATTCCTCGATCCCGAGCTGGACGGCGTTTGTGACTTGGGTTACCCACGACGTGAGGCCCACGACGTGTTGCCAGTGGGCAAGTTCGTCGTCGAGGGGCAGCAGGTCGCGAGTCGTGTACTCGTCCAGCCACACTTGGCCAGGTGGGGACATGGCGATCGCGGAAAAGATGGTCGCGTTGAGGAACGGGTAAAACATCGACTGCCGCGCCAGGGTACATGGCGTGTTGCGCAGAATCGAATCCAAATACCGGGCGGCATTCGTCACCTTGGCTCGATCGCTGTTGCACCGCCGCTGGCGCGCCGCCGTTTGGGCCAACTCAAACGACCGCCCGAAATCGACCCAGCAGAACGGACTGTGCACGACCAGGTTTGCCGAAAACTCGGCTTTCCGCAGCGACGCGATGACGTCTGGCAACGGCAACGGCGACAGGAGTAGCCCCCTCGCCCTGGACGGATTCAAATCAATGACAGTGTTCGTCGCGCTGTAGTCTTTGAAGATGGCCGTGTCGAGCGGCAGCTCCGTCGCGGTCTGCACGACCACCGACAGCTCACGGTTGTACAGATCGGCCAAGTACGTTTGGATGCCCGACGTGTTGAAGCCTGGCCAGTAGTAGTCGTTGGTCGCGCTGCGTTGAAAGAGCAAGGCGCACTGAATGCTGCCGGTTATCGTACACGCGAGGTACACATACCCTGCAGCCGCCTGCCACCGTCGGCGGGGGCGCTTCCCCTGCACGGGGAATGTCTTTGGTGGTTGTCCGTCTTCGGTGCTGGTGTCAGTGACGACGTCGCTCGCTTCTCTCACGAACGGCTGCACCTGCATCGATAGTTTTTGATGGAATACCGTGGAAGTCCCGTGGAGCGTCGGTTCCAAACGCTCCAAAATCGAAACGGTGGTGTGTTGCATGGTCGGGGGGTCGCTGCCTAGCTTCCCCGATGTCGCCGCGACGCTGCATGGAGAAATCGCGTGTGGCGCCAGGCCATGGGGCTGTTCTTAGGCTCAAGGAATGGCGCCGCGGGTGCTGTGGAGCGGATCAAGGGGGAGGGGGCGTCCACCTCGAAGCGAAGGGAACTGATCGGTGATGCAAAACCGATAGGCGCCCCAACGGTTTTCTGCCTCGAAGTAGACAGGCAGGACGCAGTGGCGTTGAGTTGTTTCAACTCATGTCGAGCACCGCTCTCGGAGCGCCAGACCACGGCACGTCCAGCCGAGTGGCGGGGAGTTGCTCCATTCCGTAACTCGGTGGTCGAACCCATCCTGGCCAAGTCGTGCTGAAGGCCCCAACTGCCAGAGTCCGTGATGAAGCGTAAACAATGGTGGTCGCAATCCTCCGAGCCCCCCAGTTTACTGTTAATTGCGGCCCATCTTTCAGGTCGGTAGCACGCAAAGGCGGCCGTGCGGTTGATGGGATTCCATCGTGCCAGCATGAAAGCACAGTGGCCCCACCACCACATTCAGGCATCATTGGGTAAGGCGATGTTCTCTCGGGCGAGTCATGGTGCTCATGTGTGCGGAGTAGGAGCTCGCGCCGTCGCCATCGACTTCACCACACTCGGACTCTAGTACGATTTGGTCAAGTCACGGTGAACTTCTTGATGGGACGGCGGATCGTCTCGGGTTTCACTGCTGCCGGTCGTTTTGGCGCAGCTTCATCGGGCGAGGCTAGCATGACTGTCGTGCTGCCGTTGGTCCGGCTAAAGTCGCATGCCGCTTTCTTCTATCGACTACGGGCGACGGTCCGGCGAAGTAGACGGAGCTACATTCGAATGAATCGGACGCACATCAAGGGGACTGTTTCCTCCGGTTTGAACTCGTACAGGTTGGGCTTGACCGGGCATGCCATGCAGACGAGAACGCGAGATCCCGGCAACGGCTCCCACCCATTGTTTGCAACACGTACACGACTGCGCCGCACATCTAACAGCAGCACTCTTTGAGAGGCACAACGCGGTGGGGCACATCTAGCACTTTGTGCAGGGGTCGATCTCGTCGTGAGTTCAGCCTGACTCAAGCAATTCATGAGGATTTGGACCCAGCGAGTCACAACCCCCCGCTTGTAAACCCGTCGAGCTTTTCACCAACGGGTCGATCGGTGTGCACGTTGACCACTTTCAAATATCCTGGTGGCGCCGCCCCCAACTCCGTGAAGCGCGACAGGTACAGCTGGTACCAGGCCATGCGACTGCTGAAAGCGAAACCAAACACCGCGACGGTTGTTTTGGCGACTACGAAGGTCGAGGTCGCCTTGGCTCTACCGAGACGATCACTTGAGTGACCTCCACGAGAACAATTGCGCCTACCTGGAGGTACTAGCAAAAGTCGAGCGGTGCAAGGCGAAAGCAGGCCCTGAATCATGCTCCATGACACGCTGGCGTCGAGTTTGAGCGCGTAGAGATGGGAACGTCGGCCGTCCATGCTTTGTAATGCTCATGCTTGTGTCCCACCGGTGCTTCGGCTGCAAAGAGCGCGGCGGCTGCTTCCATCGTCGCTTTCCTGCGTTGGCCACTTTTTGGCCAGCCTGGTACAACAACACCACGTGCGCGTCAGCCATGCCAGGACATATTCCGCCTGCGACTCTGCAAGGGGCGAAGCGCGACCGATGCACGCGGCCGGCCGCCATGTCGTCGCGCGCGTACTCGTGGAGCTGGCAAGAATTTTATATGCACTTGATATTCTTTCGAAAACAAGACAATGGTGCGGAAGGATATATATGTAAAAAAGTAGTTTAATTATGCATATGTTTTGGTGCATGTGGCGTATTCATCCTGCCTTTCTCGATGGTCAAACGAACCGGGAGGCGCTCAAGTTGAAGCTCTCGGCGCGCACCGGAAGCGCTGCCATGCACGCATCGCGGTGGAGGGAATGCCAATACAGTGCTTGAAGGGAGGCCTTGAGTGCGTACCACAGGACACTCTCACCTTGCAACGATGCTGCAACCGTACTGGTGACAGTACAATGTCCTTTTGAATCGCGCTTGGCACGATGGGATCGAGTGGAATGCCTCTGGCTCGTCCCATCGCATGCAACCGTGAACTCTTCTTTTGGTTATCTGGCCCATCAACTACAGCCCTCTCGGGCTGGACAGAGGAGACGGGGTGTTTTTCTCGCGGGGGGAATGCACGTATGTTAACGGCTATGCGCCTCCGTACTTTGCAGGTAGTATCGCATGACGTGGTGGTGGCCATGGAGTGTTGCCAGCTCGAGGGGAGTTTTCCCCATCAGATACTAGAGTGAGCAGTGTGAGCAGTCCATGGCACACATGCAGGGCGACCTCGGATTCTTGGTTCACGTCGCATCCCGCCGCCTGCAAGTATTTCACGGCGTCCAAATGTCCATTTGCAGCAGCAAAGTGAACCGCCGTTAGTCCCTTGTCCATTTTTCCAAGTTGGTAACACCAACCAGTCGACGAGATTCATGTACCGAGGCAGTGCGTCCTGCCAGCGACGCTCCAAGGCTGCGAAGCTGTTGCAGCATTGCGCAGTGGCCGCCTTTGGCAGCCAAATGCACAGCAGATTCCCCATCCTACACATTCGACCAGGAAGCATCCAACACTCCATGCACCAGTCACGGGATTACGAAATTCGGGACGCCCACGAACGCGGCCAGTTGGATAGGATCCTGCCGCAAAGTAACGCAGGCCTCAATACCTGGAACGTACGTGGCGCAAAGCGTCCATCAAGACGTCGACGTGATTGTGTCGTGCAGCCAAGTGAATCACGGTGTTGCCCGTCTACAAATGGCAAGGCGCGCTTGGTTTTAAACACATCATGTGGGAGATGCTTTACTTCGTCGGCTGCAGCAACGTTAGCGCCTTCGTCCAGCAAGAGATGGAGCACGGCCAGTTGCCCTGTCTTGGCAGCGTGCAACATGGCGCTGTTGAGGACATCCTACGCCGTCACTCAGTTGGGTTCACGTTCAAGGAAGCAATACCTGCCGATTTTTCAATGGCGCATGCAATAGCGCCTTGACTGTGGCCAAGTGACCGCGCTCCACTGCTGCATGGATAGCTGATAAGCCAACAAGGTCGGGTCGCAACGCGACCAGGTCGTCCACCAGAGCGACGTGCCCCCATGCAGCGGCAATCGCAACGTGGAATTCGGTCCAGTCGAAAAACGGGAGCAGGGCCATCGCGAGCTCTTGATGGCCTTCGCGAATGGCAATGATGAGTACATTGATGCCATCCTGCAGCCCAAACATTTCAAGACTCTCGCCGGAGGACAATGGACAGTACTGGTCGGGTCGACGACACGTCAGCCCCTGCGTGAATCAGCATTGCTGCGATGTCGAGCTGACCGTGGTAGGCTGCAACGTGCAAGGCAGTCGACCCATCCTGCTTTCGTGTGCATGAGAAATGCCTTCGCGACTTGAAACGTACTGCGTCGGCGGCGTTGAGATCAGCATTCGCGTCTACGAGGCACTGGCAAATTGTGCGGTGGCCCAAACTGGCAGCAATCATGAGCGGCGTCGTGCCTGCTGCATCGGAAGCATTCACATTTGCGCCATTTGCAATCAACTTGACTATATCCTCGGCGAGCCCCAACGAGGCTGCCTCGTGAAGCGGGGTACAGGCGTTTGATTCGGACATTCCAGACAACTCCACCCGGTCTGTCCAGCGTCGGTGAGGCTGTGCAGTCGGTCCCAAGCATCAGCAAGTAGAAGTACCATGGAGCCTTCCAAGTGAGCTGGGCTGCAGAGCTTGGATGGACGGCGGCAATTCGAATTTGGCAGAATGCACGCGGCGACTTGAATGGCATTGCGCGGCCTGCTGCGACCACAACGGAAGGAGGAACTTTGCGTCATCTAATCCATAAGGCAGGGGTCACGGCATGGCCTATGCTGCTCGCCGAGCTCGATACCTTTCTTGTAACAGTGTACGGCAACAAAGGCAGCCGATAGGAGCCGCAACGGTAGACGGTGTCGGCGCATGCTCAAGATCGAATGGCCGTCGAAACGTCACACATTTTGATTGGATACATTTTTTGGCATTTACAAATCGGATTGGATAAAATGTTGATATCACCGTGAAGATCACCATTGGCACAAATATCTCGGCGAAGATATTTCGATGGTACGTGCGGCGGTGGCGTGCGCAGCAGCCCTTATGAAAGTGATATGGAGCAAAATCTCCAAATGGCCGGGTGGTACATGAGCACAATTGGTTTCAAGCGTCGACTACGTGCCTCGAAACGTCCCCACACAGCCCTTGACCTCTAAAAACCAACACCAGACCATTCGAGAGCGGAAGTGTACCCCGACCAGGGCGTCCGAGTTGCAGGGGTGTTCGTTTGCTTCAACGTTGAGGCTCGCCACACGGCACGCCGGACGTAAACAGCCGAAGCACGACAAACCCATCGAGCATTGCGGCTGGTTTGTCCAGCATACAGTAGTAAATGAAGTCAACCGAATCGCCACGAACGTTTTATATGCCGCGTTGTATTGGCGGCGCCACCGCTTCGTCTGCCACGCGTTAGTGCGATCTCCGCCCATGTTGACGGGGTCGGCGTCCATATCTATGGCACCGTCGTGGGGCATTCCAGTCGATGGGGCCAGCGCGGGTTTTTCAGCCGCTAGCTTGCGAACCTTGAATTTCATTTAAATAAGAATAAATGAAAATGCATCGTGTACGTTGGCACGGGTTGCGTTCATCGTTTAAATGATTCATTTAAATTGCCTTTGGCCGCCACATCTTTGGGGGGCAAAGACGTGCACTGGGGGCAAGTACGCCTCTGGGACTATCCTGACACCGGGGCCAGCCCGCCACCGGGGGCGTCCCGTCGTTGGGGCCTCCTCGTCGAGCTGCGATGCCCCTCACGAGGCTCGGCGTATGGAAAGAGACCTGATATGCGTCAGTACCAAACGCAGCCTGAGGTCACCACCCCCCCCCCCCGAATTTGTTCTCGCCGCTCCACATCCACCCCATCGATCGAGACGTAGGACAGCGAATGCCTCGTCACGGGCGTGCGACATACACTTGAGCCACCCGCGTACCCACCTTGATGCGGCGACGGAAGCGGCGGCGGCGGCAAAAACAAGCGCGCCTGACTCGGAACCAGTCAGTTTACAACTGCCGTGTAGCCAGGGAGTTATGGCGGAATATTACAAGTGCGGCGGGCGCAAGCCCCATTTCCATATTGTCCCTGTGGGTCGCATCAGCCTGTACAATAGCAGCACCGTCGTGAAGCCATGCTCTTCGGGTGGCTCCGAAACCTTCCGTGGAAGCGAGGCTCGACTGGTGCGACGGCTGCTGTGCGCCGACTGAATGCAATGCCCACAGCTCCACAGCATCGACAGGTGCCCCCCCGCCATGTTCCTATCGCAACGTCCCATGCCACCCGCGACTTTTTCGACTCGATGTCGGCCAACGAACTGCGACACATGCTCCATCGTCTCGAGGACAACTGGAGAATGTACCAGCAAAAGATGCCGCGCCTGTCGACGACTCTTGCCGTCGACTTGGACTCGATGTCGTTCGTGGCCAACGATCCCTCATGGGCTCGAGACAGCGTCGCGCTCGAGGAGCACATGGCCGCCAGCGAGTGGGTGTAGATCGCAACAGATCGACCTGCGTATCTGTTCGTCCCGCGCGTTGTACACACCTAGCATTGTAAACTTATCATTATGGAATATTAGTTATGGCCCTTTCAAACGGCGGAATGCGCCAAGCCCACGCGTCTGCGCAAACGAGTCATGCGCTTGTCGCTGGCTTGGGAAGCCCGCGAGGCAGCCAGCGCTGGCGAGCAGCACGGGCGGGTGGACATCAAACCATGCGTGCCCGGCTTTGAACAAAGCCCTCGTCGTCTAGCCAGCGTCTTGGGTGCAGGCTCTCCGCGCGCAGTTCACTGGACGAGATTGCATGCGCCAAACGTGGCGGAGTTCATCTCAAGCTGTCGCTGGCGGCGCTGGGCGACATCGAAGGCGTGCGAGGGCCACGTCTTCACGGCAAGGACGTGAATCGTCGTCTCATTCGTCCTACTCAACAGCGATCCACCCAACAATCGCCTGGAACACGTGGGTGTGGACCCACCCTTGGCGCATAAATTGGTGGGTGGCAGCTAGTCGCAGCACGATGGTGGCTTGGAGTTGCCCGCGGTGTGCTGTTGGTGCCCGCGCCTCTCGACAACGGAGCACATGCACGTGAAAAGGGCCACAAGGCCCCAATCCATGGATGTAGCTGCCGATGGAGACGGTACCAGCCTTGCGCATACCACTGGCTACGTTGGGTACGGCACACTCTCGATGAATCGTGGCGCTGCGCGCGTCGCTGGCTCAAGGTCCATGCCCTTGCTCCCCACCCACACAGCGAGGCTGGTTCCTATCGCATGACGTGCAGTTGCGTTGACAATGTGCACGAGCCACGACAGTTTGTGAATGCCGTCGAAATCGGGCCCACGACTGTGGCGAGCCCAGCGCGACGGGCGCCAGCAAGCGCTGCTAAAACGATTGCAAGGACGTGGGGGTAGCGGCGTCAGGGTTTCTTGCAACTGTTTTGGCAGCGCTAGCTGGCGCTCGTCGCTGTGCCCCACGGAGGAAAACCCCAACCGAGCCGACAACGCGAATGCGGGTCGACGCATCGTCTTGCAGGACATGTACAGATTGTACATGTCGGGGTAGTGACGTTGAATGACGGGCTGCGCATGAGGGATCCTTTCGACCTCGGGCAGAGATATTGTCCCACAGCCCCATGAACACGATAGCAGTCGTTAGCTTGGCCCTCCATCGGAGTTTGATCGATCGCCAGGCGCTGTCCGAGGGCGTTTGCAGGCACAATGCAGTCGTGGTGCACTTGCGAATGATCCCTGCACCTGCGATCCCTTTCGACGTTCAGGACGCCGCTTCCTCTGCCAAGGACGGTTCGCAAGCCACTGGGTGGTGTCCTCCTGGCTAGAAATGAATGGGGCGCGAAGCGAGATCGCTCTGGATCGGCGTCTGTGGCAGCAGCGAGCCCACCCAAGACGTCCACCGCCGTCAGGTGCAAGGTCGGTGGGCTTGGCGTGTTTCTGGGAGCTGAAAGCGGCGGCCCCAAAACAATTCAGCAGGACTTGGTCGCAACAAGGTTCGAACCACGCATGAACTGCACGGAGTTGTCAACAGCGACGGAGCGATCGTCCAGAACGACCTGTCTAGCGTACGGCGGTCTGGTGCCAGCGAGGACTCGCACGACGTTCGCCGCCAACGGCATCCAAGTCCAAGGCATTTAGTGGAAGATTTTGCCGACGAGGATGTCGCCATCCGTCGAGTGGCATCCCTTCCAAACGTAGTCGGTATCAAAGTGTGGCGCGCCAAATATGAAACGCACCATGCTGAAGAGGTTGCCCTGGTCGAGACCTCGTCAAAACGACAAGCACCCTGACAACCCGCGGTTTCCCTGACCTCCACCCGATCCTCCTCGTCACCTCTTGGCAGACAACTGCATGCACGGGAATACTTCAGAGTGCTGAACTACGAACACGTGCCCTGGCTGGGCAAACGACGACTGCGAGCAAATCGCCGACGCACATCTATATATAGGGTCGCCACCTCAGGAACGGTGGGCTCGTCAACCATCATGGAAGGGCATTTGATGCTACTCAGCCATGACGCGCGCGACGGTCGGTGGCTGGGGGGTCAAGTCTTCTATGTCGTTGTGGAGGAAGGCTACCTGCACATGTTTTCGGGGGCCAACCGCCAAGCGCTTCAAGTGTCCGTGGCCCTCACCAAGCGGCACGTGGACGTTCGCCAAGTGCAGACGTCGACGCTGTTCCAACTGGACGTGTTCAACGCCGTGGGTGGTTCCCAGTCGTTTGTGTTTCTCGCGTCGAATGCGCAAAGCATGGAGAGATGGATGCGCTACCTCCGGCAGTGGCAGCGCTTCTACTTTGCCGATCCCGTCGCCGTCGACGCCCTCCCCGAAGACGCACAGACTCTCCACTTGCTCGTCAAGCACGCGCACTTGGCCGATACAGTCGCGTTTCAGCGACGCAGAATTTGGTAGGCCGCCGCCCCTGTTAACACAGCTCGGTCGTCGATCGAAAGGCGCATCAACCTTCTGGATGTAGTCGCCATTCGCCCCGCCATGGCATCCGCGCTTTGCACGTGATGGGTGGGATCGCGCCGCAAGAAAGGTAGGGCCAAGGGCGTCGAAAGGCATGCCGTTCGTCGCGCCTTGCATGCCATGCCTCGTGCTGTGCTCCATCCCAGCTCACGTCCTACGGCCTGGCACCCCGAACGCAGCCACGGCACACGTCTCTCGCAACCAGGGGTCGAAGGAAAGAGTCGACCGAGGGCATCCACCGACCGCTTGGTTCAACTTTGCAAGGACCCAAAACGTTTTCGCCCACCGCGTGCGACGCAAGCAAGGAAAAACACCGAAACCCGCCCAACACACACACACACACTCGTTAGATCAAGTCGAATGGATTCGTAGACGTCGTGCGGCGCGGTGGCGGCACTGCTAGGACAAACGCGTCAAATGGATTCCGCGGAGGCGGTGCATGGCCCGCCATGACTCCACACGCAGCACGTGCCACAACCTCATCTCGGTCGTCCCACGAAATGAGATCTTGCACAACGACAGCGGGAGCAGCAACTGGAGCGTCGGACGCCGCGGCCACCGGCACGGGATGCGTCGACTCGGCGGTATTCAACACGACCGACTGTTGTTTTCGCACGCGCTCTTGTGCAAATGCTGCAAACGGATCGTCGTCTGGAACATTCGCTTTCGACATGACGTCCGCGCCACGGGGCGCTTTCTTGGGCGACATGACTGCATTGTCTTCAGCTTCGTCGCGATCGGGCTTGTGTTTTCTTCGAGGGCTGCTCGCGACTTGCGATGACGTGGCGGCGACGAACATGTTGTGTGCCGCTTGGATGGCGTCGTTCAGCGTGAGCAGCTTGTCCAAGTTCTACCGGTGAAAAATCAATCTCCCGCGCTCGAGAGTGGACACGACCTCGCTGCCCGACGACGCCTCGCGCTCGATCACGACGAGCAAGTGCTGTTGTAGTTGCACGAGCTGGCCATGGAGGTCGTGCAAGATGTCGTTCTCAAGTACTTCGACGTGATTCGACTTGGCAGATTCGGCAAGCATGTCCTCAACCATTTCCAACACGTTGTTCGTGACATGGAATGTTTCGTCGGGGCCAAGGGAACGGAACGAATTCGGCTCGGACGGCCTTGCTGCCGGCGGCACATGGACCTCTACCGGCATGCGTCGATCGACTGATGAAGGAGCGAACAGAAGAAAGAACCTGTGCCGGGAATACCAGGAACTCCCGTGCCGTTCCGGGGAGGCGATAGCACTGGTGCACGCGAAGCGTCGTACTGCGCCGGGAACGGCACACCTTCCTTGCACATTTTGTGGTACGTGTCACTAAATCCTGGGAGCTCGCGGCGATGCGGAAGAAATGCTTCGCCCCATCCCTGTATGAGCTCCAGTACCCGTTCGCAGATGAGCAAATGCGACTGCCCGACTTTGCCGCGGTGTTCCTTGTACAGAAGCTCCATCGTGCTCATAAACTTGGGATGTGCGATTCGAGTACGGATCGACTAGGACGAACAAAGCATAACATGTTGCTCGACGGAGGCATGCACGCATGCGATTACCTTTCCGCAGTTCTTCACGATTGCCTCTGTGAGATGTAGGGCGGACAGCACAACTGTTGGGGAAAAGTGCGCGAGCCGCATACGCACCATGCGGATCGATTCGTTCCGTACCTGCGCATGACGGTGTCACCGTTCTGAAGGAAGTGAATGGAAATGCATACTTCGTTGTCCGTGAGTGAATTGAGCTTGTCGACAACGGCCATGATCGTCGGCCACGATTCGGCCGTCGTATAGTCGGACGTGGCGTCGTCGATAAGCTTCTCAAGTCCATCCATGAGCGCTTTCGTCTCTGGCGAGCACATCGCATAGAACGACTTCTTCTGGATGTAGTCCATCGGAAGCGTCAGCGTCAGCTTCTGGCTCTTGGGCGCCGTCAGGAACCGCCGCAGCTCTGTCATGATGATCGTGGAATTGGGAATACAACCAGCATACAAAAAGTTGTCAGCAAGGCGCCGCTCCCTCCGTTTAATGACATCATGACAGTTTGCTTTCCCACACCAAATATTTTTTTAACTGTACCAAGATTCCACAGTTGCGGAAGACGGTCCACGTTGAAGATATTCCACGAATTGCATCTCTTGTATCGTCAATATTTTTATCTATCTATTTTGTCCATCGCAGTCCAGACGAAGGGTCGTTAAAGCAAGGTTCCGGATAATTCCCGGCAGGGGCGAATTATCCGTATCTGGATGGCCGCATACTGAATATGGTGCCGCTGACGACGGCTGCGGTCGAACAAGTACGGCAAGCGGCGGATTGGGACTGCGGCCTGGCATGCCTGGAGATGGTAATGCGGTGGCTGAGTTTCACGTACCCACACGTCTTCCACACAGATAGCAGGCGCTTCCAGATGCAACTGCACAAGGCCATGCCGACACGGAGCATTTGGACAATCGACCTTGCCGCGTTCTTGAGCTCGTGGGTGTCCATGGAGCATGTCGATGTGCACTTGTGGTTTTCGTCCACTTCAATGGAGACGAACCCTGCGCATGCAGCGCACCCGTACTATAGCGCCGATTACGCCACGGATGTGGCGCGGGTCGCACCGTTGTATGCAGCTTGGCGCGATCGATCATTCCTTGGACACACGACCACCGCAGAATTGAAGGCACGCATGCAACAACGGCCGTCGGTGCTTGTGGCACTGGTTGACGCCACCGAACTCCAGTGCTGCGTGTGGAAACGCCACCCCATGCATGAATACCAAGGGCACTTCATCGTGATCACGTCGATCTGCGACACCAAAGGTGCGTCCCAATGGACAAGCACGGAGGAAAAGGACTAAGTTGTGATGGGCGTAGTGTATTACGTCGACCCCGCGAGCGCCGAGCACACTGCTTGCGTCATCGACGTCACCATGTTCGACAAGGCCAGGTGCCACCCCAGTACAGATCAAGACCTGCTTCTCGTGTCGCTACCTTGAGCATGCTGTAGCGAGCCCTTTAAAGTTATCGTAGTGAGGCCACGGCTGTGATGGCTTGGACAAAGTCTAAACTGACATCGCAGTTCCAGACGTACTTGGTGCTGCGCCTCCAACGCCCCCATCATGAAACTTTCGCAACGCAGACGTGGCCGCAGTGCGAGCTCCATCTGCCCTTCACAACCGACGCACGTGCTGGCCCGTCCTCACGTGCATGTGAACTTTGGCCGCTCATCGCCTCGTATTTGCATGGATGGCTGCAACTCGGTGGTGTGTTGGCGCTGCACGTTTGGAGAATTCGATGCAACATGCACCTTGCCGCGACGAAGCTCTTTTCTCCTTTTTCACCTGCGCATGCCAGTCGTTGGCCGTGCCAAATTCTGTCGCACGTCTGGGACATGCTGCGACGAGCTCGCTCCACCCAATGTCATTCCCCTAGGTGCAGGACATGTTGGTGAGCACGCGTGCACGGCACTTGGCTCTCGTCATGTACACATGCGACAAATCACTTGCATATTCGCACCAACAAACGCCTCGCGAAAGTAATGTTCTGCCAGAATTCGCACGATCGGTGGCGCTTCTGGAGCTAGCAGTGCGCTGGTCTTGTTCGACTCCATGGCACACAGCTTGCACACGAGCTGTCGCCGCTACCATGTAACTTTGGTGTTTCAAGCAAAGTGTCAACACACTTTGCCACTCGCTTGTGGTTCGCGCCACGTCACAAACGAACAAAATGAAAAATGGCCGAAAATACCACGATGAAAATTGTCGCGAAATTCACGAGCTCATTTATTTATGTACAAAGTAGATATAGAGTGGATTTTTGACAAAACATACTAGTATTTTGTCAAAATCCCCTCTATATCTACATGATAAATAAGCTGGTCAAATTAATTTTTATCCTGGATCAATTTAGACGATGGTTTGGTGAGACCTTTGGACATGTGTCGGTTTCAAGAACCCAGCAAAAATGCATGATGCCGCCAACGCCGCGGGGCCGCCGCCGCCCGTCTCGACAAGGAAGCGCCTTCCTTCCATTCTCGCAGGCAACATGTGGCAAGTCTTCCTCGAATGCGCACATTTGCATCCGAGCGCTGTCGCTGTCAGTTCGATTTCATCCGCCATGCCCGTCCCCGCAGACCCCACGCCATTCCATTCGCTCGACGGGCATACGTGGACGGACTACGCCGCCCGCGCCACTGCGATTGCGCGCCGCTTTCAAAGTCTCCACCTACGCCCTGGAGACGGTGTATTGTTTCAAACTCGTCGGAATTCTGCGGCATGTACGGCACATCATGCCTGGTGGATTCGCTTGCCATTCATGCCGTGGACGTGATGCAGGCACATTTGTCAACATGGGCGTCGTGGGAGCGGGCGGCGCTGCTTGCCACTGGCGATGCGAGCCGCATGAAGTTCAGTTCATTTGGACCACGATGCCATTCAAATGGATCGTCACCGACTCGACAACCCATCTGCCTTTGTACTTGGCTCTGCCGCGTGTCGAAGGCATTCTCATGTTAAGCAGCGACGAGGTACCGCCGATCCGTCCAAGTTGTGTGAAGGCGTCTTTGCTAGGCATTACGACGTCCATACCTATCAACCGCCATCCCTGACCAGTGCTGCTAGGAAAGCGTCGGTGGCGCGCGTGCCCATCCCAAAGTGCACTCGTACTTGTCATTTCTCCAAGCGGGAGACGGCGCTTCATTGCCTGTCGCCGGCGCAACCCTGGCAGCTTCATCTCCGTGCCTTTGGGCCTTTCAGCCAAACGCCCAAGGCACCTTGACACCTTTCGTCCGTTCCACCGACTACCCACCACGCACGTCACGGTGCTGTAGGTCCTCACCCACTACAACGTGCTCTTCACCGCGACATCGATCGTGACGCAGCTCCGCATGGACATTTCGTCGAGCGATTCGATTGTCGCGTACGTACTTGTGTTCACGTGCCGTTTTGCTTGCAACGTGCGCAGGCACTTGCCGCTGCACCACGTCGCGAGCCAACTCATCGAGTGGTACGTGGCGATTGTCGCCCGTGGCGGCCCGCTTCTCTTTGTTTTCGACGGCGCCCCTCCACCGTCCATTTTGGCGACGTGCCAACCCACGTTATTCTTTGCGACTCCGCATACGTGGCAGTACGTGACGCAGCGCATCCTACATTGACGACGCCACCAGGCAACTCGCCGATGCCTTGACCAGCCAGCAAGCTCAAACGAGCCCTCCGCTGTTGTCGCACTGGGCCCAAACCCGTGCGCTCCACAATGCTATCAAGTACGACGCCGGCAAGTAGAACCCCCTTTGTCAAACCGACGACGTAGATTGCAAAAGCTGGTCAAGCCCCAAAAGTCGTCGCTAGGATATGCCATCGCCCGCCGGTACGTTGCGTGGGAGCGTCGAGCTTCTCACTCCGTCATGGTCAGGTTTGTTTTTCGAAGCATCAAGCGGCGGCTCGGACTGCTCCGTGCGCGATATTGCGCCGCCGTTCTCGCCCCCGTGCCTCTCGATATCCTGCAAACATTTGCCGCTGTAAAACGCGTCTCCTTTCCGCCACAGATGACAGCGATGGACAACGACTGGATTAGGTGGATGTACCAATCTACCAGTGGTTTGGCAGCGCCGAGACGACGGGCGTGTGCTGCATGAGTGGCCCACATTTATGGAACATGGGATCAAGCGGGCGGGCCCTTCCAGGCACGCAAATCGTCGTGGCCGATCCCGACCCCACATCGCGATTCGGCGAAGGCCAGGTGCGCGAACGAGAGCTCCACCCATGATGTCACCCGCAGCCAAGCAGATTCGCATTCAAGGACCGCACATGAGTCCGTCGGTGGCGGTCGATGCTCTGGGGTTTTGGACCAGCCCGTTTTATGGTTTGCTTGCGTCCGAGGGCTTTGTCGTGGTGAACCAAGTCCAGCACAAATTGGTGCTGAGCACGGGCGACCAGATTCCGGTCCTCGTGTACGAAAAGCTCGTCGTACAGCGGGTACAGCACGCTTCCGAAACGTTGTCGTTGACGGCCATCCAGGCGCCGTACTTGGCCAGCGCCATTGTCGTTGGGCACGGATGCGCATACCCGAGCGTGTTGCTCGTTTTGAAATGCAAACGCGATGCGAAATTAGTCGACGAAGCGCTGGACAAATCGCGCGCCCTCGGTAGCAAAGCCACGACCGTCTACGAAGTCCAAAAGTGCTCGCTGTGGGCCGTCGCGCTCGACGCATTGCTCGATTCGCTCAAGCATCCCACCGACGTGGACGGTTCGAGCAATTGCCCAACCACCGAACGCGTCAACGCTCGTCGTAGGGCTCGCCTTGCACGCGATGCCGATTTTGAAATGGCGCGTGCTCGACACCACGAGCGATGACGGTGAGTCCCATCTCGCGTTCCGATCACAGGTCCAGCAGCTCATGCGCGCATTGCCAGACTCGGTGCTTCCAAATCGACGCGTTCTCGGCGAAAAGTACTCGGAAATCATTGCAAGCTTGTACTGACAATCGTCGGTGCTCAACCAAACAATGATAAAGACCCATATCGACAGCGGCGATGGGGCTGAAATGGTGAAAATTGAATCGGGGATCACGGTGAAGTGGAGTGGTGCGGCGCCGTGTCACGTACGATGGAGGTTGGCGCTGCATGCGAGCCCTCGGAGCCAGGGACACCTCATGGACTGGTTGGAGCAAGGGAATCGCAGTCACCCCACGTCATTCCAGCAGACACGTGCTGCCATCCTACGCCCTACTACTGCGACGGATTCCATCCGAGGACGGGCTATGCCAAACTCGTTGCGACCTTGACGTAGTTGCACCGAACGGAATGTCCTTCTAGTTCCAGCGCATGGGCCGTGAGTGAGAGGCCTTCGCAGCGAGACCTCGTTTGCGAGTGCGCTACCTCATTCTTGGCTGCCGACGCTTTGTCGTGTGTATGCTTTCATCCACCCAGCCGTAAACGCCAACCTGGCAGTCGAGTGTGCAGGAACAACGGCGGGATTTCGCGGTCGCTGGCTCCTTCGGTTCTAGTCTGACTGCCAGGTCGGTTCCAAAAGTAGGCAACACAGGGTTCCGTTCGCCGCGAGGTCGATGAAGTGTACGAGAGGCGCGAGCACCTCCCACTCGCCGCATGGACACACGTACTATATTGCAGATGCTGTGGAGAGATCGCGTTTCCAAGGCATGCACACTGCCGCGTCGATGCCAAACGAGGTGGAAGTCCAACATGACCCAACTTGGCCATAGACCAACTCGACACTTCCATCTCTGTCAAGGGTGTTGCTACAGGGCAGCGACAAGGGCCTCAGAACCAAGAGAGCGACCAGTTTGTCGCAAGAGAGCCATCGGTCACGCGAGTCAGACAGACCCGACGACCCCATTGAAGCACGCTGTGGTAAGTTCTGCTTGGTCCGATGGCTGCGACCGAATTCAGATGTGCGCACTTGAACAGCAGGGCGGACAAATGCCAGATACGGGCGCAGGCTCGAGAGCATGGACCGCCAATAAGAGGTGGCATGCCGACAAGACATGAGGGCTACGCTGCCGTGAGCCAGTGTAGATGGAGATGATTCGTGAAACAAGCCCGCGTCCATCTGTCGATCCGGCACAGCTACGCGCAGCCACATCCAGTCGGTCGTGCTCTTGACTGCCATTCGAACTCTCTCTTTGGAGCGAGGGTCGAGAGCGGCACTCGCATGGCCTGGCACTTGGACCGTCGCGCCAAGAATTGTGGAGTTTGTGGATGACATGGATGTGTGCGTTGGGTCAGCGCAGTCTAGCCACATGCGCCAAAGCGTTTGGCCGAGCAGCAGAGACGATTCTCGCGATGGCATCTCGTTGCAAGAGTGTGGCCAGTCGTGCTGGCGACGTTAAAACGAAACCAGGCTATGGTACACAATGCCTCGAGTGAGACCGACTCGCGCTACCCCCCGCCAAGTACGTGTTGGTACTGGTCGGGCACGACGGTCGAGTTGATTTCGCACATGGCAAAAGGCGGCTCGGCGACTCGACGGGGGAAGCGCTCTTGGAAGGTCTGGCCGATCGATTCCAACTGCATCGGGCCCGCTCGTATTTTCACGGACGTTCCTGGAGTCGTCGTTCATGACAAACGAGGCGGTGCGGTTGCCACGCACCTTGGTTCACAGGCCTGGATTCCCATGCCAAGGACCATGGCGTCACAGCGGTGGCCTCGTACACCTTGAGCACATCGCACGGCACACTCTCCGACTGGTTCAAGCACGGCGAATAATGCGGCTGGACACCGGCCGACGACACGCGGGCGACTTGCTGGAACCTGCTCGACCGGTGGGGAATGAACCGGCGAGGGATTGGGGAGGTACGCACCGCAGAGGAAACGACACTTGGTGGTCGAATTGTTTCAAGTATGCATCGAGTTCCTTGTTGTTGTCGCAGTGGGCGAGCGTCGGCTCGATGTTTCGATACACCGCGACGGTCGTCGACAAATACGGAGATTGCGTCAAGCATGGCAGGCAGTCGGGATTGCGCACTTGGTCGGTGCATTGTTGGCCTGCAGCGTCGGTGACTCTGGCTCGATAGCACATCCATCGAGTCGACTTGCCGTAGGTGAACGCTGGCGGGGCCGACGGCCGCGGCTCCCATGTACGTCCGTTCCAATAGCTGGCGTACTGGCCAAATGCAGCAGGCGCTTTCACGCACAACAACGATCAGTTCAGTGTCCGCCGCGTTCGCTCTATACCGAGGAATTGTCGAAATGGCACGAGCGACTGCGTCGTCGGCGGGAAATTCAACTGCAATACCAAGCTCGCGATATCTTGCAGCGCCCCTTGGCCGTCCAAATCGCCCTCGAGTTCAACCAACAGCGCCTGGCGCGCCACGTCACGGGGCGACGTCAAAACGACGCAGATCGCACCTCGATGCCGACGTAGTCTGGAGTGAGCTTTGACACCGACACATACTTGGCGCGGCGCTGCTCGACAACGTGCTGCGGTCCCGTCATGCGATCCGGGCGGGTCGGATGCAGTCCATTGTCGACTTTGAACCTATTTGCACCGGTTCAAGCAAGTTGGCGCCGTGTGAAAAGCACGCATACGCTTGGACTCGATCGCGCAGCTCGCTCGCGGACGCCGTCATCCACGTCATGTACGTGTCGAGGCGCATCCTATGTTGTGCGGTGCAGATCCGACATGCGCATGCAAGGCTCGGTACGTTGACGTGTTGGTTGGCAGGAGGGACAGCATGACGGGGGCGTTGAGAAAACTCACGCCAATATCGGCTTGGAGCAGGGCGACTTCGCTCGCGTTCAGGTCGTTCGAGTTGTCAAAGTCGTAGCTTCGAAATACCACGGACGAGGCCTACGATCGAAACCATAGGATGCGCGCCCGATCCAAGTCGGTTCACCTGAAACACAAACTGCTCAAACATTTCGTAGTACACGCGCCCGTCAAAGTCGGGATCGAGCATGATGGCAATCGCGTCGAGGCGGGGTAGCTGGCGATCCATGAGAAAGCGCGACAACTCGTTCTCGTCCAGGTATCCCGACTTGTCCAGGTCGAATCGATCGAACGCGAGCGCCGGATCGAGCCCGACCCACGCGTCGAATTCGCCATACGTGATCCGGCCATCTCGATCCGGGTCCAACTTGAGCGCCTCTTCTCGCTTGAGCGCTTCCAATTCGACGAGAAACGCGTCGAACGCGGTCGCGCTGAGGGTTTTCTGGCCCGACTTCATCTAGTTGCCGCGCGCGATCGAGTCGGTGGCCAACGCTGCACAGGGGGTCGTACCATTTCAGCGACTTCGTCGAGCGTCAACTTGCCGTCCAAGTTGACGTCCATGTGCTTCATGTCAAAGTCGTCAAACTTTTCGAGAAACGACGGGCTCATGGGAACCCCGAGTGTGTCCAGGATAAAGTCCATCATGTTTGGCGGGTCCGTCGTGTTGATAAAGGCAGCCGACTCGGACGCGAACGGGTACGTCACCTGCGCCACGTGGAGAAGCCACCACGGGGGGACGCGGCATTACCTCTTGCGTCGATGGAATCGCGTACGCACTCGCCATGCCGGCAAACAGCTTGAATACGGCCAGCGTGATGTTCGTGCTCAACGCATCAAAGTAGTTGCCGCGCCACGTCTGCCATGATGGTGAAACACAAACTCGAGTGACACTTCAACATGTGACCTTGATGTTGTAGACTTGGAAGCCCCAGTCCGTGTGCGACGGCACGGAATGCGGCCGAAACGCGTTGTTTTGGGGGTCGTGCGGGTCCTGCCCCGGCAACAATCCGCTCTCAACGTGCTATCGCCGACGGCGAGCTTACCTTGTACCGCGAACGAATGGGCTCGTGGAGCTGGGCCAACCCGTTCACTTGCTTGCGATACGGCGGCGGGCATCCTTCGTTGTGGACTGGTGGAAAATATGGATGGTTGGTATCGATCGACGCATCTCCACACATCGACGTACTCAGCACGGAATCATCGCACACGTTTGTGACTCGATCGCAGCACGTGATGGCCCACGGTGCGTCCTCGGATCGAAATCGTTGCAAGTAAATGTCGTCCACGTTGTCGTAGCTAGTCGGCATCGGTGAGTCTGCGCGATCGCACGGGTCGGTCACCGCACTCTTTTGTGAAGAACGCTCGGTGAAAGTTGAGGCTGTAGTCGACAGACCCATCCATACGCTTGACGCTTTCCCAGAGCGGGTCCATGATCGGCCGCGGCAGCCAGTATTCGACCGTCTTGTAGTAGCTCTGAATCAAGTACGCATCCTACAAAACTCGATGCGGTTGCACCCGATCGAAGCGATGGCCAGCATACGTTGGTCGGCGACACAAGCACCGTTTGGTCATGCGTTTCCGTGATGGTTTGGCCGCCGGGGGCTTCCGTCGCACCTGGCGGGTACATGCTCGCTTGGAATCGGTACGGGCCATTGGGAAAGTCGGCCGTCGCCACGCCGCTCAGCCCCATCTACGACCTGAATCGAGCCATTTCTCGCCATGCGACGATAGCCAGACCTCGTTCTGGGCGTTGTCGACGTGCATCCACATGACAAACTGCTGCTCAGCGCCAGGCCGGGTCAACACGACCTATTCCAGCCATGGATTCGATCGAGACATGGAAGTCGACGCTACCTTTGGACGAGTCGCGACGAGGCGTTGGTGGACTCCAAACGGATCGGTCAGGTTGGCGAAGTGCAGCATGATGCCTTCGTTGCGCCAAGAGATGAGGTCCGTCGTAGAGCATGCCCCGATCCCGCCGCCCACGACGACGTGGTTGGCATCGACAAGCTGGACTTCCGAGAACCAATACTGAGACTCTACACACGGGATGTCGATGCGAGTGGTGGTGCTGCTGGCAAACCTTTGGGCAGCGTCGTTGCGGTCGATGCGATCCGTTCCGCGTTCGAGTCGACTGGGTACACAATCGATACGTCGGGGGATATCGCGATCGCGACCAATTCGCCCATGCCCAACGCAGACGCATCTGCATCGAAGACGTCGTCCCTGCATCCGTGTCACAAAACCCACTTGCGTCGAAACGCTGGCGGCGGTGTACCGAATATCGTTCGAGTACACGCGATGGAGCGGCCCGTCGTTGGGAGCGAGGCCGCCGTTGTCGTACGCGTACACCGCTCGTCTCGAGAGATGGCTGTAGTGGCGAATCTAATCGGCACACAAGCATTGCTGGACGGCGCGCGAGTTCAGGATGGTTACTGGCGGCGAATACTGCGTCGGCGGACCCACGACTGCCGGGGACCACAGCGGGCGCTGCCGGGGCTGGGACACGACCACGCGGCCATTCGAGTCGACCGTGGGGCAGTGAAAGCTCATCGTGCGATCGAGGCCGACATACAGCTCGTCCCACCACGTCTGCATCGCATCGTACGTGTACAGCCCGATCAAGTCCACCGTGTCTACGCCATGGCATCGGCGCCGCATGACGTTGTCCTAGACGTACCCGCGGCGAACGGGACGTGCGCGACCCTCGACACGCCATTGACTCGAATTTCGAGCTCGAGCACATGCCAATTCAAAAAGATGTCGACTTGATACCATTGCCATGGATGGATGGCAGGGAGCAATGCCTGCGGTGGGATTATGCCAAGTGCATCGGGCATCCATCCACCTGGACGGGGAACCCTCTCGCGTTGGTCGAGTACGTCAGCGCGCCTTGCATCATCCCAATGGCAACCACAAAAAGCGTCGGGTCGGACGAATGATGGACCCCAAAGAGCGCCCCTGCGCACATGCCTTGACGACTGTGCCAGAGCGCACGCCATGCGTACCTCGATTCGTTTGGAGCGATCCGATTTTCGTCGCCCCCACCCGCACAAAGTACGATACCCGGCTCGGTTGACTCGGAAACACTCTGAACGACGGGCCTTCCAACGTCGGTGTTGGATCGATGACGCTCTTGGCCAAGTACAAAGACTTGGCTGTCTGTGCAGCGCCGACAAACGGATCGGTGGTTACTAGGTACGACTTTGTCATGATGCTGGCATGCCACGATGGATTCTCTCACGTTGGAGCTGCGTTTGAATGTCCAGATGGATCGTGCCGCCCACGATCGCACCAGCCCCGGAGTACGCGACAGCATGCGCGTGCAGCGAAATTTCTCCGTCCGACCCGTTCTCGCCGGGGCTTTGAGTGCTTCGCCCTCCCAGTCCCCCTGTCGCCGCCAACGTGCCCATGATGTGAATGCTCGTGCCACTGGTGAGCACGATGGACCCTCCGCTAAGGACACGGATGCAGCCTCGAAACCTACGATCGCTTTCGAACGATACCTGCCGCCTCCGCCTGCAAAAATGCCGCTCTCGCCCGCTTCGCCATGGACCGCCAACGACGCGTTGGGGCCAAGCGTCATGTCATTCACGGCAGCGAGATATATCGCCCCTACGTCACTTGTCTGTAAACGACTGCATCCACGGCATTCCTACCTCCGCCAGCTCCGCCAAATATGGGTCTTGGAAACTGGCCAAAGTCGGTGGGGGAGTCGCCCCCTCCACCGCCCCCGCTCCCTCCAATCAAGTCGCCATTGGCAGCCAACCGGCCGCCTTTCCCACCTAACGCAACACCCCACAACGGTACGCGCCAACCCTCCCGATCGAGACACTTCACCATAGCTGAGCGAAAACCCCGCCGTGTCGGAGATCGTCACTTGGGCGCGTTTTCCGATCAAATACGGCTGGGTCGTTGTGGCATGGGTCACTGGGTCCACCACGACGTCGGCGGCACTCGCCGTCATGAACGTCAACGGCGCATCCACGACTGGAGCCGATGGGCTAGTGGGGGCCTCGTTTCCTCTGGCGGCACAGAGTTAACGCAGTTCCAGTCGTATTGCATACCGTAACGTTGTCATTTGAATGCGCCATGTGCATCCCCGCTCGATCGATGCTACACGTTGGCGTTAAGTCGCCACCACAACGAATCCACGACCGTACTGGGCACGTCCTTTGTGACAGCGACTTGCTGCACGTCAAACGCTGCTCGAAGCGCCGCCGCCATGCCGTCGGCACTTATGTTGTATGGCAAGTCGGGCGAGGTCTGGCCAAGAAAACGGAGGCGAAACACGCCGCTGAGCTGATTTCCAACCGCGACCAGCCGCGTCTGCACCGTCGAATCGAGGCCCGTCAAGTACGACGTGGGCGTCAGCAACGGGACGTTTCCCACCGCCGTCAAGAACGACACTCTCCAAATACGGCCGACGCTCGCCACTTCTTGGCCAGCTCTCGTCACTTGGACGCGACCGACGCCGCCAAGTCCAAGTTCCAACTGCGCCTGCATCTCTTCGGCGCTCGCGTCGTACCGAATGCGCGCCGTTACGTTGGCCCCGTTCGAGAGCGTAAACGTCCCTCGCATCGTTTGGCCCGCGGCAACGCTCGTTTGAATCTCCATCACCGTCGGCTCGAGCGCTCCAGACGTTTGCACCGTGTGCGTGTACACACGGACGCTGGAGCTTCCTGGACCGTTGATGTTGTGCTGGGCAATCGTTCCACCGCCGGGGAATCCGCCCAGCATCCCCGGCGGGCTCACGAGGTGCGTGTTGACTACGGCGCTGCTGCGGCTAAGTAAACAAAGCGCATGTCGACCCTTGAGCTTGACTTGAACATTCGCTCCCTAACAACTCAACGTGACCGAGGGCGGCTGCAGCATGCACATACCAAGTGTATCGTGAGAAAGTTAAAAACAGCGACTGTGGTGCGCTGAGGCGTTTGGAGCAGCATCCCTTGGAACGAGACATCGCCAGACATGCCTGCCGTCGTCGTGTCGATGTACACGGTGCCCGACGCGAGCTCGAGCGATCCAAGCAGGGGGTAGTGGAATGTGTCGAATCCAAACTTGGTCGGGGCTTTCCACTCGAGAGGCACCGACCAGTGGTGGACCCCAGTCTTCCAATCTTCAAAGTCGTTGACGAGCTGGACTTGGGACCGACGGCCTTGGTCAAACTCTTGGTCGAACGCTTCCAACTTGGCGTCGCCGATCGTGTACTCTGTCGCGCACATGTCAGCACATATCGCGAACCATTCAACGGTACGTACCTTCGCTTCCTCGAGCACAGCGATGGGTTGCTTTGCACCGCTCGTACGCCAAGCATGCCGAAGTTGTCGACGTTGGCGTACAACGTGTGGACTGGATGAGAGCGTTTGTAAAGTCACGTGCCGAAGGACCTAGTCCGCATCCGTCGACATGAAGCGCAACATAGCACGCCGAGCACTACCTTGACCGAGCACTGCAGCAACCCATGCACACATGACGAAGCCCTGGCGCCTCATGCCGCCTCTCGCCCACGACGGTTTCGCGAGTAACTGCTCACACTAAATTCAGGTAGTACCTCCACGACTGTCAGATGGAATGACATGCAGCAACACGGTACTAATGAACGAGTTCCTAATAGTATTACTAAATGTATTGCATACTACGACGGAGTTCGCTAGAATCCTACTTCCAAAACCCCATCGAAGGTTGAGGGGGTTTCGGGAGGGATTGTCGAGGCCCTCACGTTCAGCATCGCCGATTGATCGGTCGTAGGTGCGCGGAAGGGACAGAGCGGTGGGGATGTCTTGCCGTTCGATGTGATGGCACCGGCGGGCACCCACGCTTCGATCCCAGTCGTGTTGGGGTGGCCACAGAGCTTCCACGCATTCTATCCTCGAGAGAATCGTGAATGCCCTGATGTCGGCAATACCGCTTGCTGACGCGTTTTGTGGCCAGGGGTCGTTCAGGCCGCGCTGAACGAACGTGAGGCCCCGAAGACGAGGGTTCGTGCTGCTGTCCAGTCGCCACGTACTCGAGCAGTTTCGTGGATTCGAAACCGAATCTTCACATGCGTCGATATTTAAATAAATATGAAATATATAAACAGTATATTTGTATGCTCTATAAAATAATGAACCCGTGCATGTCGACACTTGTTACCCAGTGTCCAAAATGCCGCCTCGGGTCGCGGGGATGCCGCCGTCCACGTACGGCACGCTTCCGACAGCATCCTTCTTGAACAAGCCGCGCATCGACTTCAAGCTCCTCATTGCGATCGTTGCGTCTGGCGCATGCTTGTCGGTCCTCCTCTGCGTCACCACATATAACGCCGACTGGTCGTCGGACGTGCCCAGGATGCGCTTGGCGGTTGCGCCAACAATCCCCCTCACATACGAGCAGCTGGTACAGCCACGACAAGTGCACCTCGCGTACGCTGGAAGGACTCCCGGCACTGGCATGACGGTGTCGTGGGCCACCTACCATCGAGTGAACGACAGCACGCTGTGGGTCGGCTCGACACCGACGAACTTGAGTCTAGCAACGGTGGACGCTGAAACGTTGTCCTACTACGCAGACGACGTGTACACGTTGTATACGTACCACGCGACTGTGCGGGGCTTGACGCCGCGCTCCAAGTACTTTTACCGCGTCGGCAGTGCATCGAATGGTACCGTCGTCGTCAAGAAGATCGCGGACGCTGAAGGGGTTCGTTGCTGTAGATTCGCACGTGTCGCCCGTGTACCATTTCCACACAGGGCGCGATCCCGGCCACGATGACGGCAGTTCGTTTGAGATTGCCGTGTACGCTGACTTTGGCGAGCGCAATGCGGAACAAACGGTATGCGCGAGCCACATCGCCACTCTCACGTGCATGGGCGCAGGTGGCGCGCCTCATGGACCTTCGAGAAAACTTTGATTTCATCTGGCACGTCGGGGACATCAGCTACGCCGACAATGCGTTTCACACTCTGAATGCAGACACGGCCGCGCTGGGCTTTGTCTACGAGAAGGCGTACAATGCCTGGATGGACGCGTTGGAGCCTGCGATGCGCGTGGTGCGGGACATCGCGCGATCGATTCCAGTTTATCCGCGTCATGTAGGTGCCGTACATGACGACGGTGGGCAACCATGAAGCCGAATGCTACTCGCCCGTGTGCCTCTACTCGCCAGAAAAGCAAGCCCAACTGAGCAACTACTCGGCGTACAACACTCGCTTTCGCATGCCGTCGACGGATTCAAACGGCGCTCACAATATGTGGTACTCATGGTCGCATGGCCCCGTGCACTTCATCTCTGTCAGCTCCGAGTCCGACTACGACGGCGCGCCGACCAACAACAAAGGCACACAGGTCAAGAATGGCCACTTTGGCAACCAACTGGCCTGGCTCGACGCCGATTTGGCGCGAGTGAATCGCACGAACACGCCGTGGGTGATTGTGGGCCTTCACCGCCCGTTGTACGGTCTCAAAGTCTTTAAAGCGAACGGCGAGCCCAAGACCAAGCATGAAGCGCTCCTCGACGCCTTCGAGCCCGTCTTTCTCAAGTACAAAGTCGACGCCGTTGTGTCGGGCCACCAGCACGCGTACGAGCGCCACTTTCCCGTCGCCCACAACGAGCCCGTTCTCGCCGGTGTCAGCGCAGACAAAACCATCTACGAATCTCCTCAAGCGCCCGTCTACATCGTGTCGGGGTCGTGCGGGTCCACGGACGGCCACGAGCCGTATGACGACGTGCCTGCGCAGACGTGGAATGTCCTGTACGACAATGTGCACTTTGGCATTTCGACACTCAAGGCCAACCGCACGGCGCTCGAGTGGACGTTTGTGCATTCGGCCGACGGCGTCCCCTTGGACTGGTTCGTCATGAAGAAGGAAGGGTAAACGTACTCGCTGATGGTGGCTGCACGTTCGCGACTTTGGACCGCGCGCGACCACACTCGGACCGCTCGGCTGTCGACGGCACCTCTTTGGACGTCGTTTCGACCATCGGCGACTGGGACACCCGTTTGCGCTAGGTGTAGAAACAACCTAATTCGAGTGAGAAGCAGTGGCCGCAAGGCACTTGTCACCCCCGCTGTTCCTAACTCGGACGGTCATGGGTCCCGCCAGTCTTACAATCTCGAGCAGCCCGTCTAGGCTTCAACCAGACGCCGCCTCTTCATTCGTAGCGTTGGGGAGGTGCCATGGTGTGCCGTGATCGTGCTGTTGCGTCTGGACTACGAGCACTCGTCCTTGTGCCATGGAATGGCCACGAAGCAAAGGACCAAATGCACGCGCATCCGACGTTCGAATGAACACATCTCGGTGCGTCCAGGATGTTGAGGATAGCTTTGTAAAATAGTTACTTTGGTGTACTGAGGGTACTTCGACGGCGTTTCTTCTTGGGCGCTGCCGACTGGGACGCCGTCAACTCGGCGCGGTATCGACTGACGTACCCTCCTGGGACGCCCTTTTCCCGTGACCCGAGCACGTAGTCGATGTCGTATGTCCAAACTTGGTTGGCATCGACATGCTTCGCCTTGACCCGACCCACTCCGCCAGGTTTGTTCATGCCAGACCAAAGCCGCGGTACAACGTCGACCGTGTCTCCGACATCAAACTCTTGCGCGTCTGGCGCAGGAAAACGGTCTTGTTGTAGCCCACCTTCGGTTATATGACGAGGTTGTTTGGCTGGAGGCGGTTGCGCCGACAGCACCACACGCATGGACTCAACTGGTGGCGGCGCGCTGGGGTGGGCGGCAGTCAAGAGTTTCTTCGGTCGAGGGAGGGCCATCGTTGGAGCCACCTGGTCGTCCAGTCTGCGCTTCGTTTGAAGATGCGGTGGGACGTCCACCGATGCTTGGGTCGCGGCATCCGTGCGTTTGAAATGTTTGGCGCACCATCCACAAAACGTCGGGTGGGTCGTCAACAAGCCAGCCACATACGCACACTAGAAATCTGTCGTGAAGGAGTCTGTGGTCGAGCGACGACCATACCTGGACATGCATTGCTTTCGAGCACTTTTTCGAGTGGCACTGAACCTTGTTCATCCCTGTGGCCTTTTTGCACAGGTCGCACACCAGACGGGCGCGTTCGGGGGCGACGTTTGCAATCCCGTACCCGAGATTGTTTTCAAAGTACGTTTCCGGCGTGTACAGCAAGCACATGATGTGGGCTTTGTTCCCGCACGACGTGGCTGCCAAGTCCCCGCCAGACACGCAGCACATGACACACGTTTCCGTCGCGGTTTCAGAGATGGATGCAAACAGGGGATTCAGCGGCTCGTCGTCGTCCTCTGTGGGCTCGACGGTCTCGTCCGTTTGTGCGGCGTCCTCCGACCTGTCGTCTTCGGAGTCCTCGTCCTCGAGTTGGACCATGGCTCGATACATGTTTTCGTACTGGGTGGCCAGGACCCGATCCAACTTGTTCCTGTACGCTTGCTTCTTCTCAGCGGCTAGCTTGTCCATGGCCACCGTCAACGTATTCTGCGCCACGGACTCGACATGTTTTAGTTTTGCTTGGCACGCTGTCAAGTCTTTCAAGATTTCATCTTCGCCGATCCACGCATCGTCTTCGCCTTCAATGCAAGTCACGACAATGCTTCGATAGCACGGAGTGGCCTTGATCGTGACGCTGTCCGTCATTTCGTCCAGTCGGGCATTGTCTTCATCGCCTTCTTCCACGAGTTCTTGAAATTTCAAACGAAATCCAGCCGAACAAGCGCTGGGACGGGCGTAGTTTGTCGTGGGTAAGGTGCATTCGGCGTAGAGAGTCCATCGCTCGTCATTGTCGTCGTTCAGGTCGGACGGCGCGATGTGGACCGGATTGTCGGCGGTGACTGGCGTGATGTACTCTCGTTCGACACCCTTTTCCCCACCTCCCAAAATGTACGCAATGTCGTATAAATACACCCCTTCCGTCGACGTGGCATGCTTGGCTTTGATGCGTCCGGCGCCGCCGAGTTTGTTGATTCCGGGCCATGTTCGTGCCGCCACTTGCACCATGTCACCTTCTTCCAGCGGCGGCAATGGGATGGCCGTCAGCTCTTTCACCAGTGCCCGTCGGTGGCGTCGGACTACACCAGGTACTGAGCTTCCCAACGACGGGACTGTCCACGGCGACTTGTCGCGAAAGAATGCTTGGAATTGCGCCATCGCTGGCTACGACAACGATGAGAATAAAACGAAATGAGGTTCTACCTTGGCAGCAGCGAGTGAGTAGTACAGGTCCCCCATTTCCTGCCACACAAGCACCATGGCCAGTTTGCCGTCGCTTCGAAGGTATCCCCATGGCCATTCCACGTCCTCCGCAGGCTGGGAAGTTGAACGAGCTTTACGAAACCAGCATTGCACGGACGCACTTGCACGACACTGCGGCAGGATCTCGTCGGTGAGTTGGGTCAACGTGATGCCTTTGAGTGAAATGTCGTTGATTGCCACGAGTTCAGCGCCTCTACACAAGTGCATCGAAGGGTGACTCGCACTCAGGGAAAACGACCCAGACGTTGTTGCGTACTTTTGAAGCAAGCCATCGTCGAGGGCAGCACGTAGAAGAGGATTCGACACGTCCTTGATAGTCAGGGGACCGCTCTCGACATACGAGAAGTCGATCCCCAATGGTAATTGAGGCAAGATGACAAGGACGAGGTCGTTTTCGGAACTTGCACAAGTCGTGGCTGGAACAAACACTTGAGCGAGTCGGGACGGTCGAAACGGGGATGGAGTGGCTGGTATGGACTTGAGTTTCGTGGGGGTGATGCTTGGTGGGGCGACAGGTTCTGCGTGTGGCGTTGACGACGGCCATTTCGTGGTCGAATATTGAACCTTTTTTAGTTTGGTTTTCGGGAGCTTCGGGGCTGGGGCAGTTTGTAGAGAGATGGCGGCAAGGGGAGCGGATGGTTCGGACGAAAGAGGCAGCACGGTTGTATCTTTTGCGGCCTTGGCTGAAAGTGGTTCAGAAAGCCACATTTGAATGCTTTTTTGAATTTTCGCCGTCGTTCCAGCGTCCGACGTGTTTTCGCGTTGGATAGTTTGGACAGGGGACTGCGGAGGGACAACCTAGACATGATTTCAACACTCGTTTCAGAGTCAATTGGCTGAACCTGCACCGATGGGTTCCGGGCTTTCAGTGCCAGATCAAGCCCGTGACTGGGGCAAACGTTGTGGTAGATGGAGTTGGTCGAAGCGCGAAAGGTCACTCCATGCTCCAATGCACACGGAACGTGGTAGCTCGAGGTACATTTGGCATTGGAGCACTGGGCACACGCCCCTTGGTTGGAAGTTTTGCAGAACACGCACTTGAGTTTTCGCCGCGTTTTGAGGCGGTCGACGCCGTCGACTTTACCATGAGCAAAGTTGAGTTCGGGGAGGTAGATCGCACACGACATGTGCACCCACTTGTGAGCAGTGTGTAAAGGGATCAAGGCACCGCCTACAAAGGTTGTGACAACTGTGGCGAAGTGGAACTAGCGGCACCTTTTAGATGGCAGGCACTGCATTCCCCAGAGGGTTCCCACGTTTCGACCGGGGCCACCTGCTGTGCCGAACAAAAGTTGCAGAACCACGACGCGTCAGGGATGCGCTCAATGCCGTAACAAGTTTGATGCACAGATACCTACATCAGGGTCAAGCATGGGCAGCATGGGTAAACGTACATTGCAGTCATCGCAGATGACGATGGCATCATTCGCATACGATTCCTCTCCCCAACACACGTTGCATCGAATGACTGGAGGTTTTACGGGTGGGGCTTTGATCGTGGTTGCAATTTCTTCGTCTGCCAAGATCGGTTCGATGAGACTGCTTGGACTCATACTGTCTTGCTCGTCGTCAGTTATGACGGGGCCATCGTACGTTCCCTCTAGCAGCCCTGCCATGTAGTACGACAGCTCCTGCTTCAATTGCTGAACACTTGGCAATAGGTACGCGTACTTGGCCTTCATGTGTGGAGTTGCAAGGATGTATCCCTCAACGACGTTGATGGCGTCAAACACCAAGCTCTGGTCCTCGGCGTTGCACGGTGCAGACTGCACGCACATCGTCAGCGTCCCACCCCGCCATCATCGCCTGCGGCGGGAAGGCTTACCTGGAGGATGGTTTGCACCATCTCAATGTTGTCCATCAACTCCTCATCTTGCACGGAGAAGTTGAAGAGAGCATGGTCGCACAGGGCATCCATCGCACCACCAAACTGAAATGCGCGGCAAACAGGTCGAGAAATCCAACTTTCGCACGATTCGCTGAAATGTTATGTATTTCAGCCAATTACTGCTCCTCCCTCCGGTGCGCTTAATCCTTTAGCGCAATTTCCTTGCATAGGTTTTTTCATTCTGTCGTGGGGTATTACCACAAAAAGTAATCAAAGCAATCAGTTTAAATACTGAATGCTATTTAACGTGGTTGTCGTCCAGGCACGACCCCATCAATTTTGAAAGAGGAGAGTTCGATTGCGAGGAAGGTCGTTCATCATGCAACATGATCGGGAATTGCTCACAGGGAGGCTTTGAAGTTGCAATAACTCTGATATCTAGGCATTTCATCAAATGCGAGAAACATCAAGATCTTGCTGATGAAGTCTCTCCCGTCGACCTTGCCGAATCGAGGTGAGCAGTGTGAGAGGCTCGCAGGTACAGTCTGGAACAAAATTATAGCCGCACCCCAAAATTTTCATGATGTGAAGTTGCTGTTCAACAAGCTCGATATCTAACCATTCTGTTCGAAAGAGATGACGAGAGCGCTCCCATCATGACGTACACAGCTCCATGGCTATATCAATTTTTGATTTACGAAGAAAACACTCAAAAATGTTCGGTGCATTATTATAGCCGCACTACCTACATGTCGACTAATAGTCGATTTTTGCTCCTCTCTTCAAAATGACTTGAGCCATTCGTGTCGACATACTGTCAACAAGTGTCCGACAGTACGCTAGCGTGATACGTTCCCACTCGATGGCAATTTGTCGCTTCAAGTCTTCAACGGTGTCGTATTGGTGACCATTTCGGTACACAGCACGAGCCAAAAAACCCCAAACGTTCTCAATTGGGTTGAGATCGGGGCTGAGGGCTGGCCAGGCCATAGTTGGAACGTCCTTGTCACGGAGGTACGCCATGGTGTGTCTTGAGACGTGAATTGATGCGTTGTCCTGCAGGAAGATCACCCGCCGGCCAGGATTCTCGCCCCGCACGAAGTCCAAAAACGGAAAAAGGTGGGTCTCCAACGTCTTGCAATACTTGACGGAGTCTTGTGAGCCTTGAAGGAAGGCCAGTTCACTTTTCCCATCGTAGGAAAACGCCCCCCACACCATAACACTGCGGCCACCGCCAACACGCTTTGAGAACATTTCGGGGGGGAGCCTTGAGTCGTGCCAGTAGCTCTGAAAGCCGTCAGGTCCGTCTAGGTTAAACTTCTTTTCGTCCGAAAAGATGGTAACGAGCCATTCATTGGATTTATTGAGATACTTAGCTGCAAATTTTGTTCGCGCTTTCTTGTGCGCTGGGGTGAGTCGGGGACTGGACTTGCGCTTGCGGTACTTTGCGAATCTTGAACTCCGCAATATGCGCAACACAGTAGTGTGGCTCGGCTTTTGT